GTGGCCCAGTGCTTGCAAAAGGAGCCGGGCCGCCGCCCCTCCGCCCGCAGCCTGTTGGAGCACCGCTTCTTCCGGCAGCATGCACGGGACAAGGCGTTCATCGTGAAGAAGCTGCTGGCGGGTGAGGTGGAGGGAGGGAGGGAGGGAGGGAGGGGGGGAGGGAGGGAGGGAGCAGGGATTAAGGGAGGGCTTGGAGGCGGTTGGAGTGAACGAGTCTGGGGGACATGAACCGGATGACGGGCGACTTGGATATAAGGGGGTTGGAATTAATAGGAGGCTTTTAGGCGCAAGGCACGGAACTGCTTTCTCTTGGCCATGACCCATGGGTCATTTATTCGTCCCCTTCGCAACACCCACAGCTCAGCTTCAATCAGTTTCTACTTTAACCCTCTCCCCTAACCGCTTCTCATCTCCTCCCTCCTTCTCCCTCCCCTGTCGCGCCCCCCTTCCCCGCAGGTCTGCCGCCTCTCACGGAGCGAGTACGACAGCTGCGGGCGGGTCACGGCGGCCGCGTGCCCACCCGACAGGCCCACAACCGGGAGATCCGCAGCCGAGCCAGCTACATGAACGGAGTGCTGGGTTGGGACTTCGACCTGCCCGCATGCCATGCGGCCATGAGCGGCGGCGGCGGCGGCGGCGGGCCGTCGACTTCTACCGCCGGCGGCGGCGGTGGTAGTGCGGGTGGTGGTGGGATGCGGCGGACTGGCAGCGGCGACAGCATGGCAAGTACAAGTACCATCGCTACTGTTGTCGGCGGCGGCGGTGGCGGAGGCGGGGGTAGTCCTACGGCGGCGCCGTCACCGCCGCCGCAGCCGTCGTCGCCGCCGGCTGTCCTGGTGGAGCAACACTTCCCGCACGCGCCCGTACTCGGCGGCTCGCTGGTCAACTCCGTTTTCGCTGGCGCTGCCCGGAACGCCGCCGCCGCCGCCCCCGCTGCTGCGGCGGCGGAAGGCGAGGGCCAGCAGGGCGCCGCTGACGTCGGACGGACTGCTGAGCAGCAACCCGCCGCCGCCGCCGCCGCTGGCGCCCCCGTCGCCCGCCATACCACCCTTCGTGGCAGCGTGTCTCTTCCGGATTTCAAAAATCAGCCCGTGGGGTCGCAACTGGAGCAGCTGCAGGAGGAAGGGAACGAACCGCTTCCGCCGCTGCCGCTGGGAGCTCCGACGACGGCAGCGGCGGCAGCTGGCGGCGGTACGGCAGGCTTGGTGTCGGCGTTGAGGACGAGTGGTGCTGGCGGCAGCGGCGGCAACATTGGGGGTGGTAACTACAGCGGCGGTCTTCGGGTTAGTTTCGCGCCTGAAATTGGCGGCGGCAGCGGCGCCCTGGCGGGGGGGGTGTCCCCGCCGGCGGCGGCGGCGGCGGCGGCGGCGGCAGGCGGTGGTGGCGGTGGTGGTGCCAGCGTGCAGCGCAAGGGGCGCTTCCAGGTAGGGTGTGGCGCGGTGGGGTGGGGGCGCGGTGTGTGCATGCGTCGTACGATGATGGGTTTCCTTTGTTGCAGCCTTGACCACCGCAGCGCTGCCCCCTCGCGCAAAAACAGGTCTACGAGACCAGGCAGCAAGCACCTGCTCCCAAGTCTCCCACGCCGTCATCCCAGCAACAACCCTCACCGGCCGGCAAGACCCCGCCGCCGCCGCCGGCGGCGCCTTCCCCGGCCCCAACAGCAGCCTCCGCTGAGGCTGTTTCCCTGGCAGGCGCCGGCGGCGGCGGCGGCGGCGACGGCGGAACAGTCCGCCGACGACTATTGCCTCCGTCACAGCTGTCGCCGTCGCCTGGGGAGCCGTCCCGCCGACCCGAGTCGTCGGCGTCGTCTGATTCATCGTATTCTTCCGTGTCATCGGTATCCTCTTTTGATGACGGCGGCACGCTCCCGCCAAAACTGTACGGCAGGTGGTGCGACATGGCACTTCACAGCATACTGAATGTCGTACAAGGCGCCGACGCGGCGCTACAGCTGTCGCTCGCGCTGACGTCAGCGGCGCCGCCGCGGTTCGTGCCGACGGTTCGCGCCAGCGGCGGACTGGCGCCAGCGGCGGAAAAGTCGTCAACGTCATCACCCTCGCCGACGCCAGCGTCGGCCGTGGACACTGTCGCCGCCGCCGCCGTCACTCCGGCGACGTCACAAAAGCCGCTAATGCCGTTGACGACGGCGGCGGCAGCGGCACCAGTTTCTGGTCCCGGATCGCCGGCGGCGGCGGCGGCGGCGCCCGCAGCAGCACCTGGAGGAGCACCTGTTGGCGGAGGAGCGGCGGGAGAGGGTTCGTCGGAGGGACCTGCTGGGGGCATCCGCCGCCAGCCAACCCTGCACATACCTGTGCACCGAAACCACCGCAGTGGTCCTCACGAGGTACCGCCCGGGGGCGCCTCCTCGCCGACCCCATCGCAGCCCATGCAAGCTCAGCAACAACATCAGCACCGCCGCCACCCGCCGCTGTTGGTGCCGTCACTGTACCCGCCGTGTTACGGCAACAGCAGCGGCGGCGGAGGTGACCGTGGCGGCGGTGGCGGCGGTGGCGGCGTGACCGCATGTGACAAGGACAGTGAGATCATCGTAGTGGAGGTTGATGAGACGCATCCCGAGTACGTCGCCCTAGCGCAGCTGTACGGCAGCAGCGGCGGCGGCGGCTGGGCGCCGTCAGCGCATCTGGTGCTGCCGTTGGTACGGAGCATGTCCAGGGAGATCGAACACAGCATGCATGCCGTACCCCTCCCGGAGCCTACATCGCCGCCGCCGCCGCTGCAGGTTAAGCAGCAGCAAGGCCAGCCGTTAGGCTTGCCTCAGCAGACGCCTCTGCTGATACCGGCATTAGCGGCGGCGCCGCCGCCGCCGCAGCTACAACAACACCAGTTAGCTAACGGCGCTGTTGCCGCTCCACAGCCGGAGGTGCTGTTTCGTTCCCCCGGCGCCGTGGCTGGACCTCCGGCGGCGCCCCACACACCTCCAAGTCGAGGGCACTCCCCACCAGAGCCGCAACCCAACGAAAGAAGGGCCTCCGGCAGAAGCGACACCGGCGCCGTCGCCGCCGCCGCCGCCGCCGGCGGTACGGCAAGCGACAGCAGCGGCGGCGGCGACGGCGGCGCTAGGTGCGGCAAGGGCAAGGGTTATGGTTGCGGCACCATGGACGCCATGTTGCAGGGCGCGGGCGCCGGCGCTGCAGTGTCGGCCGTCATGCATGCGTCGGTTTCCCTACCGCCTGAAGCTGAGTCGCGTTCGTACAGTCCGTCGACCCCAATGAGGAAGGGCGAGACGACGGCAGGCGCGACGTCGGCGGGGCCCTTCACCTCCGCAGCGACTCAGTCGCCACCGTCGATGAGTCGTACGTCTGTATCTGGCGGCGATGGCGCCGCCGCCGCTACGTCAACGTACGGCAGGTCAGCGACCGGCGGCATGGGCATACTTCCGCCGCCGGCGGCGGCGGGCTTGGCTGCGTCGGCGGCGTTAACCGCCGCCGGCGCGACGGAGCCGGCGGCGCCGGGTTCCGGCCGCAATGCGGCGACTGAGTCGCGGCCGGCGGGTGCGCGGAAGCACCTGCCGCCGCCGCCGCCGCCATCGCAGTCGGCTGCCGCCGCTGCGGCGGCGGCGGCCATGGCCGCCGCCGCCGCCAGTGGAAGAGGCGTCGCAAGGGGCCGGTTTATCGTGCTGAATGAACGAATGTGAGGCACTATACGGGGCGCAGCAAGAGCGCCCTGTCCAGTGACCTGGGAGTTGGCTCCACATGTGTGGAAAATGGGAGAGCAAAGTGTTTTATTCTAAGATGTTCTTGTCAGGGAGACCCCTTTGCGCGGAACTAGTGATGTGGGTTTGAAGTGTGTCTTATGCGCAATAGTTGCGTGTTTCCATTAGCGCCATGGCTGCAGCCACTGCTTCTTGGCGTATTTGCTGTGCTTTGTGCTGCAGTTGCTGCAAGGCCTTACATTACCGCTATTAGGGAAATGGAGAATGCAAAAATAAACCAGAACTGAGGCGCGTAGGATTCACAGCGCCGGCACGTGTGTGTGTTGTGTTGTTGATTGACACTTATTTTTACGCCCTTGCTGATCTTGTTTGGGCATTGCGGTAAGACCAGTTCCGATCGAGTTAGGAGTGTTTGCAGGCTGGAGGAGACCAGGAGAGGGGCTTGTTGCCAGGTAGGAGGGTTGCCGGCCACGGACGTCCCACAGGATGAGGCCTAAAGGTTAGAATGGGCAGCGGCGGATCAAAACCGTGGGGTTACCGATAAGTGTAGTTCCATTTGTCGGTCGGGGGCCTTTAGGCATTGTCGTCTGCCTATGTAGTGTGCCAAGGTTAGGATTGACTCTTTGTGCTAGGTAGATGGCATGCGTAGCGGACTATCAACTGGCGATGATGCCGCGTTGACGGCAATCTGTACGGATGGTGGCCGAATCGGATGCAATACGTACGTACGCCAGACAGTTGTTGGTTGTAGGTAAGGGAGGAGGACAGCCGAGAGCGCTTAACGCTTGACAGCGCTCCTTAATTTTTGCGAGATGTATTCCCGCTACGAGTCTCGCAAGATGTGCCAGACATGAGGTACGTTAACACCACTGATGTACCTGCCTGTTGAGTTGTATTGCGTTTCCTTACGCCCTTGGCCTCATTGACAGGCCAGGCCATGCAAAATTAGCGTTAAGGCTGCCTCTGACCCGCTTTAGGGGCTGTTGGTATGTTCGTGGGTCCGGACTGATGGCTTGGATGCTTGCTGGAGGACTGTAGGGTAGACTTGGCTTTCCGCGCCGATTACAGAGCTGTTGACGTACAAATATGCTATGTAATTGAGTTGGACAGTAGCGGAAAGGCCACTTGGGACTTGGCAATGATGTTTTCGGTTATGTCAGTTAAAGCAAAGGGCCCGGTGGGCCACGCAAATTTTGCGTAGTTCCAAGCTGTCCCCTGCCGTTTAACTTAAGCTTCGAAATTTATTGCAGGTAGTTTTGGGCAAACCAGTGATAAGGGTTGTTGAACATGCGCAGGGTCCGAGGCTAGTCAACGCATCCTCCGCCGTCACACTGCTGTCAGACATGGAGCGACATATATTATAAAGCTCGTAAAAGCGTAACTGAGCTAACTATACATTCGCTGCTTCTGAGCTTATGTTTAGCTTAAGAACGTAGTGCTCCCAACAGCCCTAAAGCGTAAATTCGCGTCAATTTATTACCGCACTTGCTTTTCTACCATGGCTTTATTTCGGTTGCGAGTATTCAGACACAGAAAAGGCTGCTTTTCGTGCAGTGAGTAATTCTGCGACGGTTCAGCAAACCGATACCGAGGCGAATTCTCAGTCGCGTACATTGAGGCATAACAACGAAATAAATCAATTGAGTGGGAAAAAAAAGGACTATAACACTCTGCGATGGGCGGTCGCTGGCAACGCTATCCCGGTGCCGACATCGTAGCCGACGTTCAGGGCCGCATCCGAGTGTACGCGGATGACTGGAGAGATGGCTGGCGTGCTGGAAGCAGGTACACCCATACCCGCAAGCTCAGCTGAAAACATTAGCCAGCACCCCTGGACAAAGACATGGACAAAGAAGCATCCTCAACACTTGCCACGCACCGCGCACACGCAGGATCCTGGCTCCCTCCATGTATGTCTTCCTGGCGTCGCTGCTGCCGGCGCTTGCCTTTGGGTTGCAGCTTGACCATGACACACGTGAGCGGGCCCGTGGGCGGGAGGGGTGTTGCATGCACAGATAGAGCCAAGGAGAAGCAACGAGGACTCACCTGGGGGGGGGGGTGTCATGCATGTCGGTTACACCTCCGACCGCAATCTGTCGCACAATACGTCCGCCGCATCCAATCCAGCCACTGCAGCGCTTCTGCAGTGTGCCCGTGTGGGCTTACCCTACGCCTGGCTCCGTACCGGCTTTCTGTCGCCCATCCAGGTGCATCTCAGTCCGTCCCGTTTCGCCATGGACCGCTGTATACGTACTGCGTGTGTGTCGACATGTGTTTAGGTGGCATTTTGTTGGAATGAGGATGCGCGCCGGGCAGCGACATGTCGATGAGTAACGTGTTGACAGGCAGCGCTTCGACAGCCGGGCGCCTCTACTGACGGATGCACAGCAGGTCTACAGCCGGACGCGTCGTCTGCAGTCGGATGTTCTGAGAGGCGGACGCTTCAATGAGGCAACACATACCCACGGGTGGACCTGCATGTGGACAAACTCCTCACCCCGCCAAACCATGGTGCATGTGCATTCCTGACTGTATAGTTGACCCGGTAGTACAGTTGTGAAAACTCCGCTCCTGTTGGGCCCCCGAATACAGGCGGGACGCTGGGCGTTGTGCACGTCCTAGCTGCAACGGCCATGACCGGCTTGCTGCAGGTATGTATGTATGTATGAAGTTAGTTGTATGTTTGATGCTCCACACAAGGGCTGCAGACCCACGGGTCACCCACACGGGCACTTGCCGACATGTGGGCCTGCATGGAGCTTCCTCCGCAGGGCAGCCCTAGCCCTCCCTTGACAGAGGTTAATACCCCGCCCCATCATCCCGTCGCCCCCACATCACCTGCAACCCTGCCCCACGTGCTCCCCACGCAACCCCATACCACCACCACCTAACCCATAACGCACCGGTACCGGTATCCCGTTTCCCCTTCCCTCTCCCTTTCCCCCTCGCTCTCACCCCACCACACAACACAACACAAACAAGGCCCTCATCGGCGGTCAGCCCCTCCTGATCGTGGGAGTGGCCGAGCCAATCGTCATCATCTACGCCCGCATGTACGAATTCGCATCCTCGCAACCCGGGCTGCAGCGCGGGCAGCTCTTCCTGCCCTGGGCCGCCTGGGTGTCCTGCTGGACGGGGCTGCTGCTGGTGCTGCTGGCGGCGGGGGGCGCGTGTCGGTGCGTGAGCGCCTTCACGCGCTTCAGCGGGGAGCTGTTTGGAGCGCTGATCGGGGTGCTGTTCCTGCAGCAGGCGGTGAAGGTGAGAGGATGGGGGATGTGGGGTGCGCCGGCGGGGTCGGTGGCGATGGAGCAGCGGCGGCAGTTGGGGGGTAGCGGACCTAGCGGTTCGGGGGCTTGGGATGGTGTTGGGGTGCTTGGGAAAGGAGCGCATGGGGGTGCGTGCATGTGGGAAGGGCAGGCGTGTGGGTGAGGGGAGGGTGCGCCGATGGAAACACTGTCGGTATATCCGCCAAGGTCAGGCAGTTTGGGAGCTGGCGCGTGTGAAAAGATAAAAGATATTTGGAGCACTTCTGGCTTAGGCCGCCTGCGGAGGGAGCAAGGAAGCTGGAAACCGCCACAAGCCTGCCAACCATTGCCATGGCCCCACCACTCCACGTCAAAGCCCCTTACGACGTGTGTCCACTTCCCATCCTTGTCGGGCACGGATACCGCTGCCAGGGCATTATCTCCAACTTCCGACCCGATCCCAATTCCTCGTACGGCAACCACCCAGCCGCCACCGCCGCCGCCTCATCCCCCGAATCCACCACCACCACCACAGCTGCTTCCGGAACCTCCGCACCGGAATCACCCGACATCATCAGCCTCTGGCGCCTCATCAACGGTCTCTGGGGCCTTCTCCTAGCGCTCGGCCTGCTCCGTAGCTCCCTCCTAGTCGTCAGGGCACGCAGCTGGCGCTTCCTACGCAAACCCCTGCGTGGCTTCCTTGCAGACTACGGCCCCGCATGCATGGTGCTGGTGTGGACGGGAGTGTCGTACGCCATCTCCTCGCCGTACTTGTACGACAGCGGTAGCGCCGGTAGCAACAGCGGCGGCGACGGTAGCAGCAACAGCGGTGGAGGAGGAGGGGCTGTGGCCGTACAGGAGCGTGTGCCGAGGCGCGTGGTGACACCCGATGTGTGGAACACTGGCGGCGGTAACAGCAGCAGTGGAGGTAGCAGCGGCGGCAGCAGCAGTTGGAGTGTGGCATCGCGCATGGGCGAGGTGCCGGGGGGCTATGTTGCTGCGGCGCTGCTGCCGGCGCTGGTCATTGCGGTGCTGTTCTACTTTGGTGGGTTTCTTTGTTGTGGGTCATTGGGTATCCGAGTGGGCCGTGGCAAACAGGGTTAAAGTTTTTATTCCGAATCATAGGAATGCCCGCCCGTGCCGTCAGTCCCGTCCCGTTTTTCCTTCTTCTACGTCCCTTCTTCCCTCCCTTCCAACTCACCTTACCTCCCCACCACCACCTCCGCCCCCCCATCCCGCACACCACCATCACACCCCAGACCACAGCATCTCCAGTCGCATGGCGCAGCAGCCCGAGTACAACCTCACCCGCCCGCCCGCGTACGCGTGGGACCTGCTGCTGCTGGCCGCCCTGACGCCCCTCTGCGGCCTGCTTGGACTACCGCCGGTGAATGGGGTGCTGCCTCAGGCGCCCATGCACACACGCAGCCTGGCGACCCTTGGGTCGCGGATGCGGTGGGGCGTGGGGGAGGAGGAGGAGGGCAGGAAGGAGGAGGAGGGCGGGAAGGATGGGGGGCTGCGGGGCGCGGGGGTGGGTCAGGGTGGCAGCGGCGGGGAAGGGGGTAAACGGGGAGGGGAGGAGGAGGCGGTGGGCAGAGGGGAAGGTAGGGAGGAGGGGCAGCGAGCAGCGGTTGCAGCAGCTGGGGGCGGCACGTCGGGGGACCCGGAGCGGGCTTACAGCGGCTTACATCCTGCGGGTGCAGTGGGTGCTGTCTTCACGAACGCAGCGGCCCCGTCGGAGTTCCCAGCTGCAGCGCCGCCGCCAACATCAACAGCGGTAACAATCAGGCCGGAACAAACAGCAGCAGCAGCAGCCCCGATCGGCTGCAGTAGCACAGCACATGCGGGGCGTGCGGGTTGTGTTACCGGTACCGGGCCCAGAGCAGCCAACGAGCAGCCACAACCGCACCACAACGAAGACAGCGCTCCTCCTGCTAACGGTCCTCCTCCTTCATCAGTGGCGGCTCGCCCGCCCCGCGCCGTCACCCTGCCATCTACCATGGCATCCTGGCAGAACCCTGCACCTACCCAACCTCTCCGTCCAGCGGATGCCTCCGGCCCACCCCCACCCCCACCCCCGCCACCGCCACCGCCTCCACCCCCGCCCCCGCCTCCACCTCAGCCCTCCCATGGCATCGCACTGCCGCTGCGGGTGCTGGAACAGCGGCTGAGCAACCTGCTGCAGTCCCTGGGGGTGGCAGCGTGCCTGTTCGCCACACCCGCCATTCGGCAGATCCCGCAGGTGGGGGAAGGGGGTGGCGGTGTGGAGGGCAGGAGGGGCGGGGGGGCTGCAGGTGCTTGTGCGGTGGTGTATAACAAGATAGCTGGCCGCGAGTGTGGTGGTAGTGGCGTTGTGTGGGAACAGATGATGAGGTGCCCATGTGTTGCAATCTAGGGATCCACCCTCGCTACCCCCTCGCCCGCCGACAGCACATGCTCCCTTCCCTGCCCTCCTGCCTGCCTCCACCCGCACAGGCAGTCCTGTGGGGCTACTTTGCATTCATGGCCATCGAGTCGTTCCAGGTGAGGGTGGTGAGGAGGGGCGGTGAGGGGAGGCCCTATGCGAGGACGAGCGCTGGGGATGCTGAGAACCCAAGATGATTGAACCCAAGCCTTGGGCGCTATTAACCACCCACCCACCCAAGAAGTGAAGCACTTGACTGGGATTGGAAGATCTTCGTCTTTACCTACCCACCGGTTCACCACCGTGTTCCCTTTTAGGGAACCATTGTAACGGTCATTCATTCACCTTCTCCTTGCCCCAAAACGCCGCAGGGCTCCCAACTAGTCGACCGGCTGCTGCTGCTGCTCACCGACCCCCGCCGCCGCGCTTCCTTGCTGCGATCCGTACATGCGCCGTACCTGGAAACCGTGCCGTACGGTGTCACCGCGGCCTTCACGGGGCTGCAAGCGGGGCTGCTGGTGGGGTTGTGGGCGCTGGTGAGCTGGGCGGGGGTGGCGGGGATCGCCTTCCCGCTGCCCATCATGGCGCTGGTACCGCTGAGGCGCTACGTGTTGCCCAGGTGCGGGTGAGAGGGGAGGAGATTAGGTAAACTGAGCCGCGAGGAGAGGAAAAAGGAGGGCGCGGAAGAAGGTTTGCGGGCGGGTGGTGTGAGGAGGAACCCAGCCGTTAACGGCCGTTACCGCCTGCCGTCATCTGCTGCGTGTCCCTTTCAACACGGTCTCTCTGCGGCTGCCGTACTCAACTTGCCACTGTCTGTCTTCCTGCTGTATGCGCGTGTAAGCAGATTCTTCAAGCCGGCCTACCTAGCGGAACTGGATGCAGCGGAGTACGAACAAGCGCCACCGCTGCCACCGCCGCCGCCGTTGCCACCACCGCCGCCGCCGCTGGCGACATCGCCGACACAGGTGCCGCACGGAGGCGCCTCCTCCTCTGCCCTGCTGCCGCCGCCTCAGCAACCTGATGTTGTTGCTGCTGCTGCTATGGGTAGCCTAGCCACGGCAGTTCCCGCCGCCGTGCCGTACGGTGACAGCGAGGAATTATCGGATGAGCGGGAGGTTATCGAGCATGAACATTTGGGCGGGCAGGTGCTGCATCACTTGACGCGCGGGGAGCTGCGCCAGCGGGTGCGAAGGGTGTCGCTGGAGGTGTTGGGTGAGCGTGAAGTGCGCGAGGGACTTGGTGGATGTGTGGATGCGGGTGGTCAAGCAAGGAGCAGTGACCAAGTGTGAGGCTTGGTGGGGAAGTGGATATGAATGAATGACGCCAAACGTATGATGAGCATGCAACTGGTTAGACAGGAATTGTTGTTAATTTGAGTGATGCAGGTGAGTATTCTGCAGACGAATCTTGATTACAAGAGGAAGGCTTGCTTTAACGAACGTAAGGGATGGACCGATGATGGAAGGTGTCATGTAGAGGACAACGCCGTTGCCTCTGTCAAACAGGCGTGGGGTACAGCCAAACCAAGTGTACGCTTTAAGCTTGGGGGTGCCAAGTTACTAGATGAGCAGTCAACGTCGTCTTTGCTTGCTCGTCCGCGTCGCGCAGGGGACTGACCTTCTAGTTAGTTGCTTGCAGAGTGTTGTATTAAGATCTGCCTTATATGTTTTTAAGCAACGCACCGTGTGTGTTAAAAGCAAAATCGCTGGACTGCTGGAGCAGACATCGGCAAACGCTTCGGAGAGTTCGGGTCGTACCGAAGTTCCCGAAACAGAAATTCGGTATCCGAAGCTACCCATGCGACAGAAATAGGCCCTCGTGCTCAGGCGGGCAGCCCCTTACAAGCCCCAGAGACCATTTTGACCCCCACCGAAGCACTGCGGACACACAATTACTGCAAAAAGGGTGCAATTTCTGTTCCCTAAGCCCTTAAATTCCAAAATTTTCTCCGGGGGCTTCGCCCCCGAACCCCCATTCAAGGAAAATAGGACAAGTACATGGATTGGGCAGTCAAGGAATAGGCGCGCCGCCCAAAAGCGTGTTTTTAAGAGCGCTTAGAGGGCATACCGAAATAGGACCTTCCCGAAGCCGAAATTCCGTGTTTGCCGACGTCTGTGCTGGAGCGATAGGTTTCGGAAACGTTGACGGGGTTCTGGAGCGGGCGCGCGAATCAGGGGTCAGCGTTTGTGGTTTGGACAGGACGCCACTCACTTGACTCTGACTACGCTGAAGACGCTGACACCTTATACTGACGTACCTGACCGTGCTAGACTTCAGTCTTTTCTGCCATTCCCCGACGGAGCATGGTACCTTACTCGCGTGACACTGACTTCAATGCTACTCTGCTAGGATATGTTCATATCACACAACTATTAAATGATAGTCCCAATGTGCTCCGTAAGATTGATTATTCATACTGAGGTGGGGGGGATTCTGACTTGAGCATGAGCAGCAAACATAGTCCTTCCGTTCACGGCTACTGCCTTTCCTGTGTTCACAAGCGTCATATTTCGCTGCCCTCTTGAATTAAGGAGGAGCATCGATGCAGCTTTCTGGTTGTCCGTTCGCAGTTAGTACCTAGCTGGTCATTTGACGGAGAACACGCGTGATCAGGCTGGAGAGGAGGAGGACAAATGTCTAATACGAGACGACCAGCAGATGACCTTCCATCATCCGATGTAGGCAGAGACGCTGCGTGCATAGCGTCTACAGCCTCGCTACTGCCTGCTGCTGCCAAAACAAGCCAGTTCTTGTTGGCTTCTCATGCCTGTTTCCTGCTGGCCCGTTGTGGTGTTGTCTTTCCGGCTTGTTGCGCTTCTCTTGCAGTGTAGGGTTGGGTTCATCACCCGTGTTCCCTTTTAGGGAACCATTGTAACGGTCATTCATTCAAGCCAACCCGAACTGCTTCAAAACGCTGCCGGCGCTATGTATCAACACGTATCAACACGCCCTGCAGGATCCGGGGCTTGGCCACGACCTTGGCGGCGATTATTCCCAGGACTATGCATACGCTGGGGTCGCAGCAGCCGGTGTCAAGCGCTGCAATTGCAAGAAAGCACGCTGCCTCAAATTGTACTGCGTTTGCTTCTCGGCAGGTATATATAGGGGGTCTTGATGCCGTGGTTGGGCCTGAGGGATGTTGCCTAACGACCTGAATACCCCCACCCGCCCCCCCGCACGGTCTCAAAGGACGCCTTGTGACCGGATGCTAGCTAATTCCTGTAGCATGCACATGCAACAAAGCAATACTTGTCACGCCTTCCTTGAGAGCACAACACAGCTTACAGCAAAACACGTCCGCCTCTTCCACCTCCTTACCACCACTTCCATCTCCCCCTCCAGGCGTCTACTGCAGCAACTGCGCATGCCGCGAGTGCCTAAACACGCTGGAGAACCAGCACCTAGTGCTCACGGAGCGAAGCAAGAAGCTGGCGGCCAGCCCGGGGGCATTCGCACCCAAGGTAGGCGCGTGTGTGTTTTCTCACAACACAGCTGTGCGTGCTTCTGTGTACGACATTGCCTTTGCACGACATCACGGCTTGTACGGCATACGTAAAGGCGCATGCTAGGGGCGTAGGTAGGGGCGACGCGCATGCTAGGTGCGGTTAGGAGTAGCAGCAAAGCCATGCGGGCCCAGTAAGCCGGTCGACCGGATCTCCGGATGCAACTGCTGCCGCTGCCGCTGCTACCGTTTTGCAGGTCGAGTTGAAGGCGGAGGGCGAGATGGCTTGCCACAAGAAGGGCTGTCGTTGCAGACGGAGCCGCTGCATTAAAAAGTGAGGGCGTCCAGCCGGGGATGGGGAATCCCAGACACAGACTTGTTTTAGTTTCGTACCTGGTAGGAAGAGAGACAGCGAGAGTGCCAGCGGTACATACACAGTATGGAGGACCGTTGATAAGGTTCCCCAAAAGGCTCGAAAGGTTCCCCAGAAAGGAACACTTGAAGCGCATGTTGAGGCTTGACAGCCTCTTGCTTGCAGCGGGCCCTTCATGGTGGGCGCACCGATGCACCCTGGCCTTTGACTCGCTGCGCATGACGTTTTCCCAAACAACAATGCATCCTCGTGGCTTGCAGGTACTGCGAGTGTTACGACGCTCAGGTGTTCTGCAGCGCGGCTTGCAGGTGCGGTTGGGGTACGGCAGGCGGGAAGCGTATGCAGGGGGTACGGCAGGCGGGAAGCGTGTGCAGGGGGTACGGCAGGCGGGAAGCGTGTGCAGGGAGTACGGCAGGCGGGAAGCGTGTGCAGGGGGTACGGCAGGCGGGAAGCGAGCAGCGTAACTACATGGTGTTGGCCTTGGCTCCTAGCAGGGGCCCCGCCCTCCTTCGCTACCACTTGAACTTTAACATTTCCATTGCTTTCGCCGGCCCTGATGTTTCCATGCACAGATGCGAGGCATGCCTAAACCAGCCAAAGGGCGGCGCGCCATCGCACGCCTCGGTTCCGCACGTCCATGCGCTGCTGGGTCGTCCGGCATCTGGACAGGCAGTCAAACAGCCAGCCGCTGCTGCCGTACACGACAGAGCCGCGGCTTTTGGACCGCACGACATGGATTTCGACATGGATTTGGGCGAGCTTGGACCGCACCCCGTTGGAGCTTTGCCGTCTGGGGCTGACGGCATGCCTTTGCATGCCGGCGTCTTACCGGCCGGCCAAGGCATGACCCACGGGTCACTCCAGTCAGCCGCCCTTGCCGCTGCTGCGGCTGGTGGCAAGGGCCTTGTCCTGCCGTACCCGCTTGGATCACTAGCCTTCCCTGCTTCATTGTCGTACATGGAACACCCTGGCGCCAGTGCAGCTGCTGCGGCGGCGGCAGCAGCAGCCGCGACTGCTGCAGCGGCGGCGGCGGCAGTGGCGGCGGCTGGTTACGGCGGGCATCCGGGAATGGCGGGTACGGCGCCGGCGGCGGCGGCAGCAGGTACGGCAGTGGGTCCAGCGGCGCCTCAGGTGCGGCCTGGGTTGCTGGGTTCCGAACCCATGGATTTACATCACGACCAGCATCCCCTGCCGTACGGCGACGGTGGCGTCAAACACGCCCCCAACGCCCAGCCCCTGGCAGCCTTCATGTCGTCATCCCTCGAGGAGGGAACAGCGGCGGGTACGAAAGCGGCGGCGGCGGCCGCGGATACGTCGGCGACAGCAACCGCGGCCGATATCAAGCCGCAGTTGTTGCGTCCCTTGGGGACAGCGAGCGTTGCCGAGGGTGCTGTCGGCGGAGGCGCCGCCGGTACGGCAGGGCAGCGGATTTCGGCCGACGGAGGCGGCGTCGGCGGCAGCGGAGGCAGGCGTGAGAGCAAAGGCGCAACTCAAGGAGCCGTCGGGACGCAGCCTCATGATGCGCACAGTGGTGCTGGCGGTGGCGCCGGAGGTGGTGCTGGTTGCGGCGGCGGCGGCGGCGAGCGGGGTGATGAGCCGGGGGCGGGGGAGCGGCCCTCCAGACGAAGCAGCTCAGATCCAGAGGACGCGGCGGCTCCGCCACCACCCGACGGCGTCGGCGGCGGTGGCGGCGGCCTACCAGGGCCCTACGCCGGAGCCACTGGGGATCCCTTGCCGTTCATGCCGTCGGGACAATGCGCAGTACTTCCAACTGCCCAACAGCAGCAGCAACAACAACAACAACAACCAGCGCAGCAGCAACAGGCTGCAGCTGCCGAGGATGCAGCGGCGGCGGCAGCCGGCGGGTCTGGCGGAGGCGCTGCCGCCGCCGCCGCTGGCGGAGGCGCCGGCAGTACGACGCCGGGGCCGCCGCCGTCAGTCCGGGTGCCGTACGACGGGTTTGACGACCGGAGCACGTTCGTACAGGCGTTGCTGGCGGCGCCGGCGTTGTTACTGGAGGAGCCGTTGCGTGCAGAGGAGCTCGCGACGCAGTTGGGGCTGGATGCCCCGCAGCGGCTGGCGGCGCGCAAGGCGGCGCACATTCTGAGGTGTGGGGGGGGGGCAGGGAAGGAGGAAGAAAGCAACATGCGTTCCTACGGTAACGCATGTGCGTCCTGCTCATGTGGGTGTGCGGTGGTGGACGGTGCATGTGAAGATGGGGCTTTTCTGTGCATAGGGAGAGGGAGGCGACAGGAAGAGAAGGAGTCCAACGGTACTTTTACCTCGCCTCTCAACTTTCGCTCGGCCATGTTACCATATCGTTCCTGCTTCTTGCATTGCAGGACGCTGCTTCAGATGGCTGCTAGTGCGGTCAGCCTCACGCAGCGGGTGGTTGCGGCAGCAGGCGGTGTTAGCAGCGTGGCTTGGCACTCCGCACAGGGCCCTGAGCTGCATCACCCACAACACCCAGGCTTGGCTCCCAGCCTGCATGGAGCTGCTGGTGAGGGCGGTGTCGTACCTGCCGCAGCAACAGCAGCAGCCGCGGCGTTGCTGCTGCCGCCGCAACCAGATGGGCAGTTTTCGCAGCCGGGGTTTAGCTACCAGCAGCAGCAGCAGCACCCACAGCAGCAGCAAAGCGTGCACATGCAAGGAGAGGGCGGTCAGGCGGGGCAAGGGGGAACCGCCTTTGACGGCGGTTTGTTCCCAGGTTAGTGTGGTTAGGCCAGGTCAGGGCGCTTCATGGCCAGCGCTTGACAACATTATACATGCTCATCAATACTCCCTTTGCTTGTTGCAGGCACCCCGGAATACGGTCAGCAAGGCAGTGTCAAACAAGAGGTAAGTGTGGAGCCGGGAGGAAGTGTATAGAATATGAGAATACCGGGTAGCATGAGACAGTACGACAATGTACAACAGGCCCCTAGATCCTCGATTCATCTCATGCAACATGTGGCCCATGGGTCACATGTCGCCCCACCACCGTCGTCCAGGCGCCAGATACCGGTAGCTCCAGCCGCTTCACGTGCAAGCCGCGCCACCTGGCCTGCCTCTGTCCCATGCACTCAGCCCCCTCCAAACCCTCCCTCTCCTCCCCATGTTGTATCGTCCCCGTGTTGCCTACCCGCCCAGGTACCACAGGGCAGCCACGGACCCATGGGTCGGCTCCCCAACCTGCCACCACTCCACCTCCCACCGCTCTCGGGTGCCCGCCAACAACCTTCAACCGCCGCTGCTGCTGCTGCTGCTGCTGCCGCTGCCACGGGTCCCGTTGCTAGCATGGGTTGCTACAGCCAGCAAATGCTGGCCTACCAGCACTCCCAACAGCAGCATCATAACCACCAGCAACACACAATCAACCAGCCTCAAGGACAACAACAACAGCAGCAGCAACGCAGGATAAGCGCCGGTGGCGGTGGTGGTGGTGGCGTCATTCGGTTGGGCCATGGCAGTTACCGTTTCACTTCCAGCAATTGCCGTTCCTTAGTTCCGGAACCATCTGGGATGTCCGGCATGTCAGGCAGTCTGGGCGGACCCCCCAGTGCCCTGCAGCCGCAGCACACCAACACAAGTGCCGCCTCGCCTGCACCGCATCACCGACGAAAAGGTAAGGAACTAATGGGACAGGACATGTTCCCCAACATGAACCGAAACAGCGCCGTTAGTACATAACCCTGGTACAACGTATGTTACAAGGATTGTGCATGCTTCATGCTTCAAGCCCTTACCATGCACATGCCTTGCCTGTTCTTTGACCTCAGCACCGACCCTACCCTCCTCACCCTCACGTTCCCTCCCCTTCCATGCACCCCCCATGTCCAGCCCACCACCACCGAAGTAGCTCCCGAGGGGGGCAGACAGCCGACGACTTTGGTGGCCCCGGCGGCGCTGGCGGCGCCGGCGATCGCAACACTGCAGCTGAGGAGCCGGCGTTACGACGGGGCAGCAGGCTCAAACGGCCCAACACGCTACTCGCCGGCATGGACCTTGGTGACCAGGAGGAGTACGACGAGGGAGGTGCAGAGGCTGGGTACGGCGGAGGAGGAGGCGGAGTGTACGGCATGGATCTCGGGGACGATGATAACGGGGCGCAGTACGGAGGTTACGGCACCGGCAGGGGCTTTCGACGGGGGGTTACCAGCGGCCGACGTGGAGTGGCTGCGGCGGCAGCGGCGGCGATGGGAGGAGGAGGAGGAGATGTGCCGTCGCCTAAGCGAGCGAGACGGGTGGAGCTTGGGAGGGGAGGCCGGCGGGGCGGTGGCGGCGCGAGGGGCGCGTCTCGAGGAAGCGACTGGCGCAGCGGCGGGGAGGAATGGGGTGATGAAGATGATGCTGAGGGCGGAGGGTTTGGGGGACAGTACGGCACTGCGCTTGGCGGTACGGTAAGTGACATGTGACGGTGTGTGGCTCTGCTCTTGTTGGCCTATCGGTAGGGCTGTAACTAGGAGCAACTTAGTGGGGCAGACCGGGTGCCGGCTGCAGCCATTCATTAGGCATCTCCACTATGCATGCAGACCAACACGAGTGCTGCTCTTTGTGTTTTTGCATCATTGCGCCTCTCTTCAACGCTTACAAGACAACACTGACCCTTCGTAACCCGCGCCCCTTTCCCTCTTCCCGCATCACTCCACGTCCGACTGACATCTGCTGCTGCTGCTGCCGTCCTCGTCGCCGCTCACGCTGCTGCTGTTGCTGCTGCTGTCGCTGCTCAACACACCACGCAACACACAGCACCTCCTGCTGCGTAGCGAGCTCTCCAGCGGTCCCCTCTCCAGCGGCCCGCTGTTGCAGCACACCGCATCCCTACTGGGCTCCCCTCTTGGCAAGTCCACAGGCAGCATGCACCCGCACCTCCACATTCCCCACCAGCAGATGCAGCACCATCTGCACCTGTTGCGAGCTGGAGGAGGAGGAGGCGGTGGTGGTGGTGGTGGTGGTGAGGGCAGTTGTGGGCTGGGAGATGAGGCCGGTTTGGCGGGTGGGGAGGGTCTTACCGGTGGTAGGGGTCTCATGGGGGCAGGGAAGCAGGAGGAGGAGGACGGAGGGGAGGTAGAGGCGCTTGGAGGACGAAGAGGAGCGGGCAGGTTTGGCGGCAGGGGCCGGGGAGCAGCAGCGGTGGCGGTTGTGGGGCGGAGGAGGGAAGTAGGCGGTGAGGAAGGGGAGGGGGAGGTTGGGGAGGAGGAGCAGGAGGAGGAAGAGGGGGAGAGCGAGGAGATGGAGGTGATGCAAGCGTTGTTTGACTTGCGGACTGCACCCGCCATTGCGGCGGTGCACGTATGAAATGACCCAGGGGTCGGTGGGGGCGTTGTGCTGACGAGGTATGACAAGGTGCTGCCTGATGAGGAGTGCGGTTTCGGTTTAGAGACATCAATGCAGACATAACGTTTAGGGATAGACAGTTGCTAGGATGGAGGTTGTTTACCAGGTGGGTCTGTCGGTTGATGGGTGGTAGCTCATCGCCTCAAAGGAGGTCACGGCGACGATGACGCGGTAGGTGTCTTAGGACCCAAACTGTGCAACACTCGGACCGCCGGTCTCATGCTTGACTGTTTGCTCCCACGCTCACCTGGATTGCGTCTGCGACCCGTAGAGTATGGTCTTGACGTAAGATACACTCACACGTGGGGGACCCTAGGGGGGCGTTTGCTCTTGCCCTGTCTTCGGCCCTGTACACCGGCTTGTACGCTCGCCCTGGTGTTTAAATCCGAGTCCGAATTGGCTGCAGGAAAGGGGTTCCGGTGGCCTTGCATGTGTGATAAAGTATGTATTTACTGAGTACTGTACGGTTATTGCGGTTGACTAGTACGGCGTGCACGATTAATGACTAAATGACTTTTTCTGTCTTCAATGATATTTTCCTCTTTCGAATACATGACAGGCTTAGGGCTCCTCTTCTTTTTTTAGTAATAGCTGCTGTGTCTCGGACTTTAGGTTTGCGGACTTCTGCAGCGGTTAGGTTTCATAGCGCTTTTAGCTTTTAGGTCACTCGTGATGAGCGCTCCATGCCAGCAAGTTTCCGAAATATTCTAAGACCTGGTTTAACCTTCTCTTACTGTTACCAACGACGAATGTCGCTTGCCTCTAAAGCCGCTCTTGCAGTTCCCAAGGACCGTGCAAACCTCTTGGACCGCGCTTGGAGCGAGGCAGCCCAGCTGTACCTGCAGTGGGTGCTATATCATTGGAAACCTGACGCTGTACATCGCGCGCTCGTGTAATGCTGATCGCTGCTCACACCTTCAAGACTCGCGATTGATGCACACATCGAGTCACACCTCCGCACGCAACGCATCGCACACCTCTTTATCTCCCACCGGACTTGCCGCCCGTCCAAACGTGCAGGGAGCTGGTCCCGCGCTTCGACCCCTGGCTGCAGTCAGCGCTCGTCGAGCTTCGGCAGCATGAGCTGCCTGCCGGGCCCATCATCGTGCCCTGCTGCGGACCGGGTACGTTGTAAATGAATGCCGTTACAATGGTGCCCTAAAAGGGAACACGGGTGATGAACCCAACCCTACACTTCCTTTCCATGAGTGCACGCAAGCACATGCACACGTCGCGGTGCATGCGCGCGAGCAAGTCCCATGCATGCATGCATGGCGTCTGCGCATCGGTCTGGTACCGTCCAGGCAACCGGCAACAGCTCCCGCTTGCGTACCCATCTTGGTGGCCACAGCGCAGTGCGCCAGCTCAGCAGCCATCCGGATCGTCGCATGCAAACCCCCTCCCTTTCCACCTCCCCATCCTCCTCCTCCTCCAAACCCCCGCATTTCGCGCCTCTCTCTCTTTCCCACAGGTCACGAGGTGGTTCTGCTGCATCAGCTGTACGGCGGTCGTCGTACAGTGCTGGGTCTGGACCTATCTCAGGGCATGGTGGCACTCGCCAAACAGGCCATCCAAGACTACCTACAGCAGCAGCAGCAGCTGCAGCAAAGGGACAGAGGGGCTGGAGGGGCCGCAGCAGTAGCTGCTGCTGCCGAGCCAGTAGTTCCGGCGACACCGCTAGATGCCCGGGTGGCCGATGCGAGCTGTCTAGATGGCTACGGACCAGCGGCGGCGGTTGTGTCGGTGTTTGGTCTGCAGCAGATGGGACCCCTGGCGCCTCAGGTGGGTCTTTGTACGGCATTTTGTCTGGAATGCACATTAATCGAACTGTCGTAAGTCGACTAATAAAGAGCCGCTGCTGCTGAGCTTCTTGTTGGTTGCATGCTGCGGATCCCGTTATACGGGATTTGGTAGGGGCCGTTGTTGGCAACGTACGTGTACGTGAGGTACCGGTACACGCACGTAGCTTGCAGACTACCGTAGCTGTGTCTGATCATCGCGCACCAAGAATTTTAGGGATTATTTTTATATAACGCGCAGGGGTCTGAGCAATTATATTCCACTTCGCGCAGCCTAGGGAATATTATCCTCAGTACCTTCCAATTATGTGACGAACAACCAAAAGCGTAGCGGTGGAAGCAAAAGCTACAAGCTACGGGTGGACTTGGACGAGGGGAAACCCGGGGGAAGTGGAGAAAGTGCGAAACCCGTTGTTTTGGGGGTGGCACAGGAGGCCACGTAATTATTTTCCTTAACGCGCAGGCCCCGGACCAAATATTTTATTTTGCGCGTTAATGCACATGTTGCCAAATAATTATTTATTTTTGCGCGATGATCACGGGGAGGGACGGTATGTTCGTTAAGGGCCAGAGCCAATAGCAAGCCATGGTGTCGTGGTGTGCTAGTGCGTTGGCTGTTACCTCGCGGTTTTCGGACCTCGTCTGCCTGCATGGCAGGCACTTGCTTCCTGGGCGCGATGCCTGGCGCCTGGGGGCTTGGCGGTGGTGGTGTTGTGGCCGACCAACGTGGAGCGCAGTGGCCCATGGGTCACTTTTGACCAGGTGAGCGTCTGACACACTAATTGGCTCCAGTTGCTCTCGTAAGACACATCGAGACGAATCGGAGGAGCGCGTATACGCGTACTACAAGACAACACTTCAACAACGCTTTTGTGGCAACACCTCCTGCAATACGGTGACGCTATGCGGAAACCACACGTACCGTGCACCTGCCGTACACAAACTTGTGATCTCATGTTGGCTGATCCCCTCCTTCACCCCTTGCGTTGCGACCTGTCGTCAGGTGGTGCTCGAGAAGGCGGCAGCGGACGCCGGCCTGCCGCCCCCCGCCCCTGACGCTGCTGCCTGCTCTCCTCGCAGCGAGTGGGAGGTGCAGCTGACCCAGCCATGTGTCCGGGAGGTGCCGGGGGTGGAGTTGTTGGTAGGGTGGGGTGGGGTGGGCGGTGGGTCTCCACTGGTAGGATGGGGTGGGGGCGGTGGAGTGGGAACTGGGAAGGGGTGATTTCAACCTGCGAACGGCATGCTACTCGCCCTTCTGCGGTCCAACAAACACACGGCTGTAACCCCACCGCGCCCCACCTCACCCTCACCGCGCCCCACCTCGCCCCCACTGATGCACCCCTTATCACAGACGGACCGGCTGGTAACCCACCCGATCGAGTGGGACTCGCTGAACAACTTCTGGCAGGTGAGTTGGGCCTTGCAGTGCCGCCACCGGTATTCCATGGGCCTTTGGATGCGAGGATAACACTGGACGACTAACCAGTAAGGAGTCCGTACTGGCCAATCGTTGCACGTACATTCCAACGGGGCGTGAGTTGAGCCTAGCAGGCGCTGCTCCGCCATGCTAGCTCTCCCTTGCTTGCTCTCCCAGCGTACACCACCTCACTTTGTACACCTCCGGTAACATCGCCACTCGATCATGAGGACAGCGGCATCCCACCCCAACCTTCTCTCACCTTCTCCTCCCCCGCTGCCGTCCAGGTTATGACGGAGGGAGGCCCCTGGCGTGCGCGGCGCCTAGCCCAGGGGGAAGAGGTCATGAGCGACCTGCGCAACCGCTTCTTCTCCAAGTTGATTGCTGCATGTGGGGACGCAGGCAGCCAGGAGCCACTGCTCCGGGAAGCACCGCACCACTTGCAGCGGGAGCCAGGGCAGCACCAGGAGCAGCAGGGGCAGCAGCAGCAACGTAACCAGCAGCAGCAGCAGCAGGAGGGTGGGCGGTTGGTGCATCATCCGTCCGCAAGATTGATAGTCCTGCGCAGGAGGCGGGAGGAGGGGCTGCAGCAGGAGCAGCTGGAGCAGAAGGAGGCGGTTGCGGGTGACCAGCAGTGGCAGGAACATGGTAGTGGTGGAGGAGGTGGTGGTGCGGAGCTGGAGGGGCGGGCTAACCGTTTGAGCACGGTAGCTGTGAAGTTGTAACAGACGTTGCAAGCACCGCTGCTGTCGATGGAGGCGGAGCTGTTTGTCGGGTACCATATGTGCGTAGCCCTGTTGAGGGTAGCTCCGTAGAGGGTGGCTCCGTAGGTCAGCGTCTTTGGCCAAGTAATGACGTCCTTTGCAAGGTATTCCCTTGGCTTGTAGACGGGGCAGCGAAGGAGCGGGGGGTCAAAGACCATATCAAACCATAGGAGACCACAAGGGGGGGGGTGCAGGGCCAGGGCTGCTGAAGCTGGAAAGCGGGGGGCGCTGTTGCGCTGTGCTGTTTCGTACGTCAAAGCAACCGGAATTGCTCCGCTAGCTTTTAATAAGACATAGCGCCTACCGCAACGGATTGTATGGTGGGGTTTTGTACCTCCGTAGCTTCGTGGTCGTAACTACACTGGACGAGCACCAGATGAGATGAGATGGCGACCCCTACCTACCAGTCCGCATCCGCTCGTGCGCTGCACATTAGTTATAACATGTCGCGGCCTTGCGATACCCTACTATTGCTGTGACGTTGTCCAAATAACAACAGCTACACAAAAACAACCACCATCACTGCACCACGCATTGTGGCAGCAAACTAGGCTCTGCAAGGCCCGGTCTGTCTGTCTTTCTGCGCTCTTTTCTGTCCCCTTCAAGCGGGTGTCATCAGCCTCGCATGGAGCGTACGGCATAGCCTGGCCTGCTGCTACCTCCATCTCGCTGCCGCTGCTCAGCATTCTTCTAGCTTAGCTAACCTACACCTCGGTATATCCTGTCCCGAACTCTAAACCCCCTAGGACCACAGAACTTACGGGACCCTCATCCAAGCGGAGCCGACTGATCTTGAGAGCTAAGCTGGCACCCCAGACCTCACGTGACGCACGGGTTCGATTACGTTGTCCTCACCAGTTGTCCTCCCAAGCAAACACGCCAACACAGCTAACCGCTACATTTCGCCGCGTCCATCCTTTTCGGTTAGCACGCTATCCCAAACACGGTCTTCCCCTAGCTGGCTACCTAGTTGCGCTTCACACAACCCCCTCCATCGCTAGTTGGGTGACGTCGGGGTTTGCCCGCGCTGTACGCGCCGCACCTCCCCTTCCGCATCGCCTCCCTCCCGCCGCCGCTTCCCAGCCCCGCCCGAACCCCCTCTGCTTCCACCAGCCTCCCCTGCCGACGCCGCTGCTTCCTCCACCGCCGAAAGCGCCATGGCTATGCCGGCCGTCACCGCCGTGCCGAAGCCCCTGGGGTTGGGGAGCGGCGGCGGCGGGCTGGTGTGTGTGGGAGCACGAGGCAGAGGCTGATGCTGCTGCTGACCGTGCTTGTCCTCGCCTGATAGGCGCCTGCCATGAGTGGAGTGGCCTGCATTGCGGTATGGACAAAGAATGGAAGGTGGTGAGGAAGGCGGCATCGGTTGGCAAACGTCCAAGGGAAAAGGCAAGGGCACTGCCAGGTGCCATCATGGCGTTCACGCATGCCCCAAAACCAATCCGCTGCACCTCTGTCCTCCCATCCCCGAGCCCGGAAGCTCCACACCCCTTGCGCTAGCAAGCACGTACACACACACACATATACTCGCGTTCCTACTCGCGGCCAGTTTTCTTAACACGCACACACGCACCTGCGCCGCTGCCGCCACCCTGCCCTACCGCCGCCGCACCCAGACTCAGCGGCGCACGGGGCGGCTTCGTGGCTCCCTGCGACGACCCAGCTCCCGAGCCTCCATGCGACTGCTGCTGCTGCTGGTGCGGCGGTGGAGCGCCCCGCTGGTTGCCCTGACCCGTGGGTCCCTGCGCTCCGCCGCTCCCTCCTGCTGCACGACTCCCAGCATGCGGGCTGGACGCTGGCAATTGCGGCCGTTGCGGTGGAGACGCAGGACCCAGCCGACCGCTGCCGTTGGCACCACCACCACCACCACCACCAATGCCGCCATCACGGCTGGAGTCGAGCGGGGCTAGGTTGAAGGTAATCGCGTTGCGCTTTCGCTGCTGCTGCTGCTGTTGGCTGGTCTGGGCTAGGCCGGAGGAAGAGCCGGGACTTGGGCTAGATCCCATGCCAGCATGTATAGGGGGCTTGGCTGAAGGCTGCTGGGTGCTGCTGTTGCCACCAGTCGACAACGACGATGACGACTGCGGTGGTGGTGGTGCGCCTCTTGCGGCGGCTGCTCGGGCTGTAGCAGCAGAGGCAGCAGCAGCAGAAGCAGTCGGGGTCATTTCTTGGCGCCGGAAGGACCCTGGTTCATGATGTTCCCTTGCAGGAGATCTAGACGATCTCAACTGCTGAGCGGCTCCAGCCCGGGGGTCTGAGGCAGAAGAAGGAGCAGGCAGTGGTGGCGGCTGAGGCAGCTCCACCTCGCCCTCCTCCGCATCTCCCGAGCCCTCCAGTGCTGCCGAGGGCGACTCCACAGGCTGCCTTGTCGGAGGTACGAGGGATGCTGGTACTGCGGAACGCGACGGAGCTGCGGCGGCAGCAGAGGCCGCCGTAGCGGGGGCCGCCGCCGCCTCATTAACCGGCGCCGTTGGCGCATGTGACGGCGCGGCGGCAGCTGGCTGGGCTGCGATAGGGCCAGGTTGCCGTTCTGCGGGACGCACCTCCTGACGCCGCCGGCTCCCACATTCCTGTTGCGGAGCCGAAACGTCTTTCTGCCCTTCCTCCTTCACCTCCCCGCTCTCCGCGGCACCCTCGGAGTCCGCACGTGCACCCTCCACACTGCCTTCCCGAGGCCGCAACGGCGGCGGCAGCCCCTGCTGCCGCGGGCGGTCTGCCGCCGCCGGTGACGGCGGCAATCTTTGCTGCTGCTGCTGCCGCAGCTGCAACCCCTGCTGCTGGTGTTGCCCGTCTTCCTCCTGATGGTGCTGCGTCTGCTGCGGACGGCGGTCCTCGTTGCCCTGTTCCGCGCCCTCCTCGTCCCGCATAGGCGACGCGCGGCTGCTTCTGTGGCGACGGTGGCGGCGGCTGCCGCCACCACCCTCCTCCTCATCGCTGCCTCCATCGCCGCCGCTAACTTCCCCATCGTCCCGTGCCCGCTCCTTCTCCTCACGACGCCGGTGCCGCGACCGCTTGCGCTCCTTCTTATGCTCGCGCCGCTGCTCCCGCTCCGCATCTCGGTCCCGAGCTCGCTCCCGTTGATGCTGCTGCTGCTGCGGCGGCGGCTCCTGTGACGGCTGCTGCGATGGCAGCGGTGGCGGCGCCAGAGCCTCACCATCCGAGAGGTCATGTTGCTGCTGCTGCTGCTGTCGGGAGCTTGGAGAGGGAGGCCGGCGAGGCGGCGGCAACGGACTGCCCCCCAGCGAGCGTCGCTCGTCATCCCTGTAAGAAGGCGGGAACAACGGAGCTGCCGTACCTCTCACGTCGCCTCCGCCTCTGCCGCTGCCGCTGCCACGTCCGCTACCTCCGTCGCCAGGATAACGGCCGCCTCCGCCCATGGGACCACGATCCTCATCTCGATCATCATCGCCCCCAGCGCCCCTGCCTCCCGCAGCAGACCTCCCGCCTCCCCGACCCCCATTCGCCAGCGACTCCCCATGCTGCTGCTGCTGCTGCTGGGACTGCTGATGGTGCGGGTAGTGCTGCTGCTGCTGCTGCGACGGTGAGGAGCCCAGGTAGCTAGTCCGGCCCCGTGGCGGCGATGCCGTCGGAGACCAGCCGTACCCCGAACCCCCACGTCCGCTGGGCCCTGGCGGCGGCACCAGCGACGGCGGCGGCGGGCCCCGCAAATCCCGCCCGCTGCGGTCACCACCGCCGCCACCACCACCGCCGCCGCGAATGGACGGCGGCGGCGGCGGCGCGTCCTCCCACTCACGCCCTCGCGCCACGCCCCTCTGCTGCTCCTGCTCCCGGCCACGACCCAGCCGGCCAGGACCCGACCCCGGAGGACCCGCACGCTCTCCCCAGGGCTCAACAGCACCACCTCGGCCTCTGTCCCATTCCCAATCCCGCTCTCTCTCGCGCTCCCTGCCGCGCTCCCAATCCCGCTCACGATCATACTGCCGGTCGCGGTCACGGTCACCCCGGTCACCACGCTCTCGATCGGCGCCGGGCGAAGGGCCGTACGGGTTATTGTACGGCTGCTGCGGGGCGTGCGACGACGACGATGGCGGCGGCGGCAGGGGTGCCTGCGGCGGCCAGTCGCGGGCGTCTCGCTCGTCTCCGTTGTAGCGGCCTGCTCGCCTGGAGTCACGACCGGAAGGTGGGTGTTGCTGCATGTGATGTGGCGGCAGCGGAGGCGGCGCACCCTGCCGCTCCCAATCTCCGCGGTCCCCACGTTCCCCGCGCTCCCAGTCCCGTTCTCGTTCCCGTTCCCACTGCCGCTCCCGCTCCCGGTCGTGACTTCGTTCCCGATCTCGGCCGGCCTCACGGTCCCAGTCCCGCGGGTCCACCTCGCTCCGTTCTCGCGACTGTGGCGGCAGCGGCGGAAGCTGCTGCTGTTGCTGTTGCGAGTAGTGGGCATCCCGCTGCGAGGTGCTTCGGTGCTGCTCACGTGCACGTGGGTCGCGCGTGTCACGCTGGGACGCCGCCACAGGGTTGGCTTCCCGCTCATACTCCCGCTCCCGCTCCCGATCTCGGTCCCGCTCCGACTCGCGGCCTCGTGGTTCCCGTTCCCTGCTGCTGCCGGCGTGGAGCTGCTCCTCGCTGCCTCGGTCGGCAGAGGACGTCCGAGGCGGCGGCCGCTCACGCTCCTTTTCCCGCTCCCGCTCCCTGTCGCGCTTCTTCTCCTCCTCCCGCTCCTTCTCCTTCTCCTTCTCCTTTTTACGGCCTCGCTCCTTCTCCTTCTCCTTCTCGCGCGTACGCGACTTCTCCTCGCGTGCTTTGCCGTCCGCCTGCTTGTCATCCCGGCTGTTGCTGTTGGTATTGGTGTTGTCATCGTGCGACTTGCCCCGCCGGGAGCCCTCCTCGCCGCGAGCTTTGCTGCTGCGGTGCTTCTCACGCGACTCCTCACGTAACCGCTCCTCGCCAACCATCTTCCCGCGCTCCTCCCGCCGGTCACCGTCCTCGGTATTGCGACCTGCCTGGAGCGCGCTGCCCTCGCGTGCAATGTCCATGTCTGACAGCTTCCCTGCGCCTGCACCTTGATGACTGAGTAAACCAAGAGGAGTGTTCGCTGCTGCCTCCGCCGCTGTCGGTTTCGCTGTCACCGTCTTTTCCTCCTTCTCCGCTGCTCTTGTAGCAGCGGCAGCGGCAGTAGGGCCCGCGTCCTCCGCAACAGGTGGTGGCGAAACAACCCTGGCGGCATCCGCAGATGGCGGCGGCGATGTGCTGGCGGAGGCAGCGTTGCCAATCGCCGGAGCAGCAGCAGCTGCCGCCGTCGCAGTCTTGCCGCCGCCTGTTGTCTGCCGTACAGGTTGCAAGTGCGGCGGCAGCTGGGGTCGGCTGCCAGCCGGCACTGCCGCCGGCGGCGGCGCGCTATGGTTTGCCGGCTGCGGCGGCGGCAACGGAGCCATCGGCTTGGGCAACGGCGGCAGCAGCGGCGCCTCCGGCGGCAGCGGCGGCCGATCATCGGAGCGCGGCGGAGAGTGTGGCATGGGAGGCATGGGAGGCAGCGGCGGCGGCGAGGGTAGCGGCGGCGGCGGCAGTGGAGGCGACGGCAGCGGCGGCGGTGAGCCGCCGGCTGGCAGCGGAGGATGCGCTGGATGTGGCGGCGGCAGCGGTGGTGGCGGAGCTCCGCTAGGCAACGGCGGCGGCGGCAGCGGCGGCGGCTCGCCAGCGGGCTTGTGCGCATCCGGCGGGGGTGCCGGCGGACTGGGAGCCGGCGGCGCTGGCGGGTGGCTTGGCGCCGGCGGCGCTGGCGGCATGGGTGGCGGAACCGGGTGATGGTGCAGTGGCAACGGCGGCTGACCCGTGGGCCACCCTGGAGGCGGCACAGGCGGAAGCCCCATTCCGTTCACCATGAACGGCGGCGGCGGCATCAGGCCCAGCGGCGGCGCGCCCATCATCGCCATTAAAGGGTCTGGGAAGACCATGCCATGCGGCGGACGCGGTTGCAGCATCGACAGCGGCGGCGGCGGCATTCCGGGTAGCGGCGGCGGCGGCCGGGATGCGACACCGGGTGCTGAAGGTGGAAGCGGCATGTGAAGGTGCGGCGGCGCAGAGGGAGCGGGTAGCGGCGGCGGCTGCGGTCCGGGCACCGGCGCCGAGTCGGGATGCGGCTGCGGCGGCAGCGGCGGCTGCCACTCGTCGTCGCCGTCGACCTCACCCTCTTCCGACATGTCCATGTCCACATCGTCCCAATCGGGCCTGCAAGGCAGGGTGGGAGGCAGGGTGTGGAAGAGTGTGGGGTGCTTGAGTGATCACGATCAAAAGGTCAGACGAGAGGGCCCAGGCTGCTGCCATGCAGCTTTCCGGAAGTCATCAACCTCACGTCAGATACCCGGCATATGCGGGCAGATCGGTTCACATGGGCTTGACCCTACAACTTGCCAATGAAGACGCCGAGCCCCAGCTACCCTACCCAGCTAGGGCCCCGCGGGGCTCCATAAAAGGAATACCACAACCCTAAACCTCCTGTCATAGTCGCAACCCTCACCGGCCAACCCGGCAACCGTTCCCGGTACCTCCCAGCACCACCACAGCCCCTTACCTGCGACCTGTGGAGGCCACCTCATGACTGGGCGCCGCCGGCATGTCAAACAGGTTGGGCTGACCCTCCTCCTCCGCACCGCTGCGTCCGCTGGTAGCGCCGCTGGCGACCGACGGCGCGGCGGCGCCGCCAATGGCCGATGCCGCCGTCGGCCGCGGCGGTCGCAGCGGCGCGGTCATTGAGCCCGCAGCGGCGCCGCCGTTCGCGGCAGCAGCCGCCCCAGTCGCCTCGCCCCCGTACGCCCATGTGTCAAACTCCTCAAGCTCTGTGGCTGGCGGAGTCAGGCCGACAATGGCAGGACCGCCCGGCCGTACAGCCGGCGGCGCCGACGCGGCGCCAGCGGCGGCGGCAGCTCGCCCGGAACCGCCGCCGCCACCGGCGGCCAAACCGGCAGGCAGAGGCGTAAGAAATGACGGACCCAGACCGGCGGCGGAGCTCGGCTGCCGCGGCGGCGGCGCGGGAGTTCCGAACCTCCCACCCGGCGTGAGCCCCTTCCTGAGCTGCTCCTCGAGTGCCGGGTGCGCCGGGGTGACGAAGGCGGTGGGCGGGCCGCGGCGCTGGGGAGAGTCCGGGTTGAACTGCGGCAACTGTACAGCAATCACCTCACGCCATGACACGGTGCCTGTGAGGAGGCATCATATGGCATCGTACGGGTGTCCACGAAGACACGGAACATGTCAGAGTTTGCGCGGACAGAGGATAAGCAGGACAGGCGTACCGATACCTACACTTGCATAGTCACAAGAACGGAGACCAAAAAAGGCAAAGATGTAATAGTGGGGAACGCACACAAACCTCAGCGGCCAGCACCCAACTCACCCATAAAGTCCGGCTCGTCCTCGTCTTGAGTGAGATCCACATCGAGGAGCTTAGCCAGCGGCTCCCCCGTAGCCTCATTCCGCGCATCTCCCAGGCTGCCGTACATGTTGTCCAGCAGGCAGCGGTTGGTCAACGGTCCGAAACGGTTAATGTCGTACATCTCGTGCTCCATGTTGTGGTAGTGGAAGCGCGCCTTGACGACGGGTTGCGGCAGGATGACCAGGTGTGGTCTCCGTCTGAGGACGTGGGGGGTGAGGACGGGAGAGGAGGCACCGGTAAGTGGCGGCGGTGGCGGTAACAAGAGAGGAGGAGGGTAACAGCGGAGGGGGAAGGAAATACATGCTTGGCAGGATGCTGTACAAATGACGCGGGGGAAGGGTAAAGGTTGATTCTATTCATGCATGTGCCGCCGCAACAGCACGAGCCATAGCATGACGGACTACGAAGGGCGGGATACGGTGACGCACGAGAGCGCCGTTGCCGTACTGTGTTACAACAACATTCCGCACATGTAGCAAGCTAGCAACCCCAGGCATCAAACACACACCTGCCGCCTCCGCCTCCGCTCCCCTCCCCGCACCCCCCTCCTCACCTGCGAGCATGAGCACCAGCAAGCCCCGCATGCCCCGGCCCCTGCCGCTGCTCCTCCAGCTGCCCCCCAGCCATCCCGCCCACATCCCTCGCTGCGCCTCCTTCCGCCCCCGCTCCTGCCGCCGCCGCCGTTGCTGCACCTGCTGCCCCAGGAGCTCCGGCTCCTCCTCCTGCTGCAGCACCTGCCCCCGCATCTGTTGTTGTTGCTGCTGCCGCTGCACCTGTGGCTGCTGCTGCCCCAGTGCTGCTGGCGGGGTGCGGGTGCTTGGGCCGCACCGCCGCCTCCTGCTCCCGCAGTATCTTGTCCGCCATGTCGAGAACACCCGCGTCCAACATGTTGCGCTTCTTCCACACATCCATAACCTGCCAGGCAGGCAAGCCAGGGCACACGCACTCAGATCTTCCGACAATCACAGTACGTTCCTACTCGCGGCCAGTTTTCTTAACACACACTCAGATGTGTGTAGTTGAGTAGAGCAAGAGCAAGCGGTTGGGACAGGTTCGCATGTGAATCGCGAGTACACACTCAGATGTGTGTGTTGCAAAATCCAATGCCTTCCTACTCGCGGCCAGTCCTTTTTGCAAGCGTTTAGATGACGACAGGTGGTAGCCGTAGCAGCCGCTATGACCTTGCTCCGCCCTATCCCGCAGCAATAGAAAAAGATCCCAAACCTTCGCGGCTTCGCCCCCTCGTTCCAGACGCAGCAACCACCTCCTCCCCCCACCTTGTAACATCACATTAGACACCGCCGTCACCTGCCCTTTCCCCCCCACTCCTCACCTTGCGCACAGACCTCAGGTGCGGCCCCGTGAAGGCCTTGAGTCGGAACGACGACAGCAGACCCGAGGTGACCATCTTGGGCCAGGCGCTGATGGCCTCCTCCTTCCCGGACCTGGGGTGGGGGGGAAGCGGAGGGGGCGGAAGGAGCCGGAGACAGTGAAGAAACGTGTGGTGAGGATTTTGAAGCCCAGAGAGACAACATCGAACGCAGTGCATGTGGCGAGATATACTGCTCACCCCGTCTTTTCTCACCCCGTCTTCACAGTTAGGATGAGTAATGTCTGGTCTGTTACCGTACCGGTCCAAGACCGCCACCAAGCAACACGCCCTACAAACCGGTAGGACCAACCCATGCCCCAACACATCCCTCCTAGCAACCCTCCTTCTCACCACCCCACCCTCATCGCCTCCTCCCAAACCCTCTCCTAGCACCCCAACCCAACCCTTTCCACAATACAACCCTTCCCAACCCTTCCCAACCCAACTCCACCCCTCACCCGCCCCTCACCCCCCACCCACCCACCCACCTGTGCAGCATGGCATCCATCACGAACAACACATTCAGCCTCCTCGCCAGCACCGCCTCCACCCGCTCGCACCCGCTCGCATCCCCCGCGCAGCCCTCCGGCGCCAGCAACGCCACCTCGTCCGCCAGGTTGCCCAGCTTGTCGAAGAAACCACGTGCCACGCGGTTCGACCCCACCGCCTTGGCCATCAGGATTGCCGAGTTGGCGGTGGATTTGATGGAGTTCTGGCTGTTGGTGAGCGCGTCAAGGGCGCGTCCCAACAGGTTCTTCAGGTGCTGCTGGACGTCCAGGTTGGCGCTGTCGGGCGTGGTTCCGGAGTCAGAGGCGGCCTTGGCGGCGGCGGCGAGCGCCTCCGCGGGCGTGGTGGTACTGGCGGCGACGGCGGTGGCAGCGGCGGCGGTGGAGGTGTTTGCGGGGAGTGTGACGGCGGCGGCAGTAGTGGTTGTGGTGTTGGCGGTGGTGATGGTGGTAGATGCGGATACGGTGGTGGTAGTAGTCGCAGCAGCAGCAGCAGCGGCCGAGGGGAGAGTTGCGGTGGGCACTGAAGCGAGCATGCTGGGAAGAAGCACAGCGAGCGCGGGGTTGGACAGCACAAACGGCAGTGGCCGGGCGGGAAGACTGACGATGGGAGTGGCTGTTGATGCCGCTGCTGCTGCGGTGGCAGCGGTGGTAGCGCCGGTGGCGGCGGCCCCGCCAGCAGCAGCGGCGGCGGCTGGCGACGTCAGCAGCGCTTGCGCTGACCCAGGCGCCGCCACCGTCGCCTGCTGCTCCTGCTGCGACGACTGGGACACGCTGTACGGCTGCGACTGTACGACAGGCGATGTTAGCGGCGCTGGGGCCAGGGAAGCCGTGGATGGGGTGCGGGCGGGCAGCGACGCCACTGCCTGTGCGGGCAGGGAGACCTTGACGACGCCGGGCGGGGCGCTGAGGCTCGGAGGCAGCGAGGACAGCAGGGAGGCGGGCAACGAGACGGGGATGCTGGCGGAGGCGACGCCGCCGCCGCCAGCCCCCTGTTGCTGCGGCTGCTGCGTGCCAGCATCAGCAGCTCCCCCAGCATGCTCCTGCCGCTGCTTCTCCTCCACATGTGGCTCCTCCTGCTCAGGATGCTGCTGTTGCGCGTCCTCAGCCGTTGGCGACGTTGCCGGCGCCGTGGCTGCTGCTTCCCCTCCCTCATGCTGCGGCGCGGCAACTGCACCTGCCTGCGCCTCTGCGGATGCTCCGCCGCCATGACCCCCCGCAGCAGCGTCAGCTGCGTCCGCTTTCGCCGCAGCACCCCCAGCAGCTGCCTTCTGCGATCCATGCTTTGCGGCCCCCGCAGCAGCCCCTGCTGCGGCACCCGTCTTGGCCCCAGCCACAGGCGCCGGCAGCGGTCCCTCCAGCTTCACCGTCGCCCCATGCACCACGTCACGTAAGGCCCGTGCAGTGGGCACCACACCCAGTCCGCTGGGCCGGGCAGCAGCGGATGCGCCGGTTGCTGATGCTAGCTTCCGGTTCGCCAGCTGCTCCGCACTCAGTAGTGGCTTGGGCCGGCCGCTGCCCACTGCCCGCTTGGCACCAGCACCTGCAGCACCGCCCGCGTCTTCGGAAGTCGCGGCAGCATCAGCTGCGATGGATGCCCCCTTCTGCGGGCTGGAAGTGCAGGGATTGGCTGGGCCTGCCTGATCCGCTGCCCCAGCGTCCACAGCCCCGCTGGCCGCAGCAGCAGCAGCAGCGGCGTCCTTCTCGGCAGGCGCCTCCTCGCCAGTTTCTGGAGGCTGCTGCTGCTGCTGCGGGGGAGGAAGCGGGGGCTGCTCGGAGCCCTCCCGCACCGGCTGCGGCTTATCACGTGACGATGGCGGCGGCGCTTTGCTGGTAGGCTCCCGTGTCGGGGCCGCGTCCGCAAACTCATCCGAATCGAGTCGGACAAGCCGCCGCTTGGGCGAGACACCGGCGCCGTCAGTCGCTGCTGCTGCAGCGGGCCGGGCTCCGGTATCCCCACCCGCAGCGCCCTCTGCAGCAGCGGCTCCTGGAGACTGCCTCCGCGGCTTGGCAGCCTTGGGTGAATGCGGTCCAGCAGCTTTAGAGGTGCCTGCACCGCCGCTGCCCGTGGCAGCAGCGGCAGTAGCAGAACCTTCAGGGGCTTTTCGAGGCCGGCCGCGGGGACGTTTGGCCGGCGGCTGTTCACCTTCCGGCAGGGGGTGCTTCCGAGGCCTCCCGGGCTTCCTCTTGGCGGGCTGCTGCGTGTCTGAGGGCTGAGACGCAGGTTGCCGTGGCGACTGGGGTTGTGACTGGGGCTGCGAATGGGACTGCTGGCCAGGCTTGGGGTGAAGCTCGGGCCCAGCAGAGGTGCTGCGACGTCGTTTGGAGTCTGTTGAACTGCGGCGTGCGGATTGTTTCAACTGTGAGGCCCGGAGCTGCAGGCTGGTGTTTCGGGATGGCAGGCCCTTGTTGCCAGGTAGAGGGCCCTCATCATCGTAACCGCTGCTGCCGCCCTCGTCCTCCTCCTCAGAACCGCTTGAGTGGTTATGGGGCAGCTTGGGGTTGCGGCCCAAGACTGGCTGGAAGGTTGCGGCATCGAAACCCTCAGGTGGTTCGGGCACTTTGGCCGGTGGTTTACCTTCCCTCCACGCTAGGATTCTCCGCTTTGTAAATGGATCGTTGGGATTCTCCTCGTCCTCCACATGCCACTCCGCGAAGTCAGTCGTGAAGATGCCATTCTCCTCATCGCTGTCCTTTGGGTAATAGATTGTCCAAGGGGCTTGCGGATGCGTAGCATCATATTTACTTATGATTCCCCAAAACTTTCCATCTTTGCCCCAGTCCACCTACAATCAGGAGGGACAAACGTGTACATACTTTCGACCATGCAAAGAGCGATTTACCAGCCGTAATTCACGGATAAATCGACAACAGGAAGCAGAGAAAACCAAGTAAACTGCGTTAAGCTGTAAAATGCACTATCAGTGAACATCAGCAGCACTAATCTGAGCAGACAACTGCAACATAGTCGCGATCACTGTACCTGGCATTCCCGATCCAAGATAGCTGCAATTTGGGCTCGGAAGGTATCAGCAGCGTCCATAGTTGTTAGCCCATTCCCATCCGCCAGCCTTTTGTCCCTCCCGTCCTACACCAGCATTTCTTACTGCTGAACACAAGCTACGTAACCAGCAACAGATGTATTGAATGGCGTAGTAGTTAACAGCATTTAGGTTCGGCAAGGCAGCCGTTGCCTGGCTGAGCTGCAACGAAAGGTTAAGAGGTATGCAGTCAGGGCCACGACAGGGCCTCTTGTAAAGTATAGAAGCGCTTACAGAAGCAACAATTCCTCTAGCCATCTCTCTCAATAATCCAATCGCAACCTTGCCTGTACGCGCCCGTGCAGTACGACATCATGTCACATCGGGCTTCCAGCCGTCTACCCTCCTTGCGACACGCATCTTACCCCATAATTTCTTCAGTGACGGGGGAAGGCACAGGAGCCTTGCAGCGATGTACGATGCCGACCATCCTGACCTGGCAACAGCCAAAAGCACGCCTGGTCTGCATCGGGCCTTGCAGCTGATGGCGACCCGGCGACTCTTGGAAAGCCCCTCCGCCTCCCTCGTTTCCCGCGATTACGCAAGCCATACGCTAGGTCCGCTATCGCTCGCCTAACCACTTCCCCAACGTGACCGCAGCCCCCGATGTCCAGAGGCCAACACAACCTGCCCCTAGCACCCGCGGGTACTCGCAACGCATCAGCACTTTTCAGCGCTTTCGCTCAATATCTTCAGCGGTCAGCTACTAGAAGCTGCCTTTGCCTTTCAGCATTCCCCGCGCTCGCTTTCTTCTTTGCGTATCCGGGCAAAGCATGGACACATGCTCGTGCAGCACACTATGCCTATAGTAGAAACGTCCCGTAGATCCTGTTTACCGGTAACCGCACGACACGTCACCCCATATAACGCCTCAAGCGCCACGTGGTTCGTACACAATGCGAACACCGCTGGCTGCTTTCCGTGCTGTCGTACGAGTCGTACTCGTGCTTGTGCTTGAGCCCTTTACCGAGTAAGCGGCCCCTTACCATAATTATCGTCTGTGCTTAGGGCCCCTTCCTCGCTTAACCGCTGATCATAGCACCGAACCTCCCCCCAAAGGCTGACTATGCTTAGCCGGTGATCATGGTACCAACCCCCTCGTCCGTCAGCAGCTCCATGAGGATGGAGTGCTTGGCGCGGCCGTCGATGATGTGCGAGGCCTTGACGCCTTGCGACAAGCAGCGGATGCAGCACTCGATCTGCATGCCACAGCACAGCACAGCACAGGCAAAAAGTGTCAAACATGCCACAATGTCACAAAGCCAAACGCCCAACCATACCTCCCACACCCAGCAGCCAGCAACACCCTGACAGACTCCCGTCAACTTTCCAACTCCCATTCTTCCCCCTTGCTGCTCCTCCTCCTAGCCGCCCTCCTGTATCCATCCTCACCTTGGGAATCATGCCGCCCGCAATGATGCCCTCCCCGATCAGCTCCCGGCACTGCCGGATGTCCAGCGCCTGGATCTTGGTGCCCACGTCGTTCTTGTCGCGCAGCACACCCGGCACGTCCGTCATCAACACCAGCTTCTCGGCCTTCAGCGCCGCGGCAATCTGTGTACGGCAGGAGAAGGTGTATGTGTGTGTGCCAGCGCGGTGGGGCGGCAGGCGGCTAGTGGGGTGCAATGTTCAGGTGCGGTGTGTTTCGGGTTGACGTTCCTTTCACAAAAGCAACGTCATTATTTATTGTGTTATTTAAACTTCACACGCAAATTCTCTGACACACACCATACGCTGTGCAGTAGCATGCAGGGCTCTCAGCGGCAACCCTTAGGCAAGCACGCACTCCTACACAACAACAGCAGCACCACCACCACCAGCAGCGGTATCACGCATCACGGGGTTGCCAGCGCCGTACCTCGCCCGCTGCGGTGTCGGCGTTGATGTTGAGCGCCTGGCCCGAGGTGTCGGTTGCGATGGTGGCGACGACGGGGATGTAGCCGTCGTCGCAGAGGACGTTGAGGATGGTGGGGTCCACGCGCGTCACCTCGCCCACGTAGCCGATGTCCAGCTCAACCATCTGAGCAGGAGGGGAGGAGTGGAGTAGGGGGAGTTGGGGTCGGGGTAGGGACAAACGTTGGGAGTGAAGTTCAGGGTGGGACCCCTCTTCATGAGTTAGCAGAGGTACAAGGTACACGACTGCTTAAGCGTAGAGACTGGAGAGCGGGGCGCTCCTCGTGCTTCCGGTCGCTACTGAGACGGCTGGCTGACTAGCTGACTGCATCGCAATTTTGGTCTCATGGCGTTGACTCGCGGGATTTTAACGCTGCAGACATGCTCAGCTGCTGTGACATGAATGGCCGCTACCTGGCAGCAGCAGGTTTCGCTGAACACAGTTCTGCGCTGGGAGCTTGCCTGCGCTGCATGTAAAGACCTTATGACACTACCTCCTCTGCTGCCCCTCCTACCCCGCCCTTCCTTTTCCTCCTAACTGCATGAGCCTGGGTATGGGATTTGGACTGTGTTGCTTCACTTTTCACTTGTTTTTCCCTCCGCGCCCCGCACCTGCCGCGCCCTGAGCAGCTGTCCGTCCTTGCCCGTCAGCCCCACCGCCTTGCCGCCCGCCTGCTGGATGAGCGACACCAGCGACTTGTTCACCCGGCCGCCCAACACCATCTCCACGATCTCCATGGTGGCAGCTGGGGAGGGGAAAAGTCGATAATAAGTGCATCAACGGAGTCCCAATCCCGAATCCCAACTCATGCAGTGAGCGCATTCGGAGACACTATCCTAAGAACTTATGCTTCCGGTGGCCCTTACCCTAGGTAAGGAAGTCCCATCATCTGGCCGCAATGAAACCCCAGCCCGCTAATCCTCACATCGTAACGTGATCCACATCCTTTCTCCCTACCATCCTTTCCTGCTTCCTTCCTCGCCACCCCTGATCCTCACCGTCCGTGACACGCAGGCCGTTCTTGAAGACCGCCTCGATGCCCACCTTGGCCAGCCAGGAGTTGATCTCGGGGCCGCCGCCGTGCACCAGCACGCAGCGAATGCCCACGCAGGACAGAAGCACGAGGTCCGTGATCACACCGGCCTGTGTGGGAGAGGCGGGGGGGTGGAGAGAAAAGGTACCGGTAATGATCTTGGGTTGCCAGTTGCACGGTGTCTGCAGGTCGGGAGCAGCGAAGAACCCTATTCCGGGAGGTTATTGCAAGCAAGCTGTAAACCCTAGGCAACACCCCGGGATGAAGTCACAGCAGGATCTCAGCCCATGCTTACCTTGAGGGTCGGATCCTTCATGGCAGCGCCACCGTACTTGACAACCACAGTCTTGCCGCGGAACTTTTGGAGGTACGGCAGCGCCTCAGACAGGATCGTCACACGGTCCAAGTTTGTCAGCTGCTTCCTCAACTGCATGGCATGATTGGAAAGATGATGGCCGGATCAACATCGGCTTCAAAAGCAAGCCGAAACATGCCACCTTTCCGGTGAAAGCAGCCTAGACAGCAAACCTGGCGTAAGCTGATGTATAAGCTGATGTAAACGTTCGGTAGAAAACGTAAAGTCCGTTCGTTGCGGCAGGGCAGAAAAGTGGTGCCAACAATCGAAAGCGTAACGAGCTGGCTGCTGCAAGGCTGCTAACCCACCTCAGCCACCTCAGCAGGGGCAGCCATGGCTCTGATGCCCGCCGCATGCTGACGAGCAGGAGTAAATGGGCGCACAGGTGCAACGGTGCAAGGGCGAACAGCGACAGAGCGGCGAACCAGGCTAGGGCTTCCTGTCTTGGAAGTAAGAAGCGCCATTTTTTTAGTCTTCAAAGCGTCAATTAGTTTCGGAGACTTTGCTTGTGGTAAAGCGTGTACGCCTAGTAAGGCAGCCTTGCAAGGATCAGGTCCACAGATGCCCGCTTTGGTAATAACCTAGGGAATCGGACTTGTTGCAGATACCTGGCAGCGCCAGGTGCAAGCAATATGCGGGTCTGTTCGATGGCTAAAGGAAAGAAAGTCACGTGCATTTTCGAACGCCGTACCGGTCCTGGAGCTACGCTCTTAGTCGTGAGTCACTTTACGATTGGCTTCCTTAAGAAGTACTATTACTATACCTGATCAGTACTCACAACTTTGACATAACCTTAGAGATCGCGAAGCTGAATAATCGTCGCCTTCCAACGGTCCTTTCACCTAGTACCTTGGGCTTGCGAAGACCGGGTTCTAGTTTTAATTTTAGTTGGATGACGGCCGCCCATATCGCGACAGTCAAGATATAAAATAGATAACACTTAAGCTCAATAGACTACCTGCATCGTTTCCAACTTGCAAGTGAACTCGCTCTTAACTATTCCGTCAGATGGCGTCATACGGCTGTCTCTGTTTTTTGCGGAAAGGCCGCAAGGTATGACCATCCTCAATTGTTTTTGTGACCCTGAAGCCCAAGAGTCAGTCACTGTGAGGCTAACGAGCATGCACCCATTTCCATGCCGCTCGTCAACTGCGACACGGCTTCCAGGGACGCGAGGCCAAAGGAGGCAGCGCTAAAGGGACAACAGTCGATAGCAGCCATGGAACTGTGCAAACCACCGAACCTGCATCGCTGAAGTCCGTTCCATCCACCACTTCCATCGGCAACTTTTGCCGGTTCGCGCCGGAACAAAATGTTCCATCACCACAACCACATACCTCACCTCCCACCGCGCTTTCAGCTGCCAGCAAAGCTTCTTCACCTTCAACTGAGGCACCGCGCACACCACCCCCACTTCCAGCACGCGCCTCCGAGATCGCGCACCTTCGGCCTGCGGACAGCGGCCTCGGCGGCGGTAACGACGACGATGCTCACTTCATGGATGCCTGCGCGCTCTCCGCCACCTCCTACTCCTCCTCTTACTACAGTGCCTGCGGTTGGTCCCACTACGGCGATGGTGATGCCGAAGGCTCAAGCCGCCGGATCAGCTCAGTCGGCTCATTCGGCCGTGCGCTCCTCACCCAAGCCAGCTCCGGTGCCCCGGCGGCGCCGGCCGCTGCCGCCGCTGACCCACATGCCGACGGCCACCCTCCCCACCACCACCAACCTTCCATTTTCCACCCGCACCGCCCCTCTCGTGGCTCCGGACACCTGCCAGTGCTTCGAGAGGCCGCCTTGCCTGCGGAGGCGGCGGCACAAGCGGCTTTGCACACCGCCGTCGCCGTGGAGGGTTTCGCAGCCTCCCTGGAGCAACCACCCTCCTCGCTGGGCCCCGCCTCATCCTCCGCCGTCGCCATTATGGCCCAGGCAAGCCGCATGTCGGACGCGCTCCCCTCGCCTGCCTTCTGCGCCTCCGCCGCACCGGCCGCTGACTCCGATAGCCTCGCCTCCGCCGCAGCCGCCGTCGCCTCCGAACCCGTCCCTCTGGTGCCGCCTCCATCGCCGCTTGTACCCTCCGCCCCCGCCTCGCCCTCCGCTGCGCTCCTCCCTAGCGCGTCCTTTCAGTTGCCGCCGCCCCTCCTCCCCCTGCCTTTCATTCCCGACGCTTACACCGGACCCGTCTGGACACAGGATGCCGGCCGCAGCTCAGGTGACGGAGGCAGCTACCCCGTCAGTGGCGGCAGCGGCAGCATCGTCGTACAACACCCGCATCCGCCGCAGCCGGAGGAGGACGACCCACATCGGGAGGCGCTGCTGGATCGAGTGGCGGAGCTGTACGGCAAGCTGGGTCGGCCATGCCTAGCCTTCCAGGCGCTGCTGCGGTTCTGCAAGGCGCGCGGCGTGCAGCCGGAGTCGCTGGCGGCGGGTCTGGCGGCGCGGCGAGTGCCGAATGCGGCGCTGCTGCCTAAGGTGGGTGACACTGACCCATGGGTCGGTTAGGGTTGGGTCTGTCGACATGGGTCGGTCATCACAGTTGGTTGAATTAATGTGGGTCGGGATTAGGAAAGTATACCTGGGGAGTTTTGGGTTTGTTTATATGCACGCGAGTACCAATTGCCGCGGGGTTCCCGCGGCCCGTTGCTACCGGCAAGCCCCCTCCGACCCTCCTGCACCCGCCGCGCGCCGTACCGTACCGTCCTCCCGCCTCCCGCCTCAGGTCCTCCGCAACGTGTGCGACAGCCTGGCCGACCTGCGCACCGAGGATCACTGGCAGCTGATGCGCAACGACGACCTGCGCATGCTGTACAAGCACCTGGCGGACAAGGACGTGCATGCGTTCCGAGCGGTGTGTACCCTGGATGCGCCCATGGAGGTGAGCTGGGGGGGGGTCAAAGACCATACTGGAGGGGAAGGCAGAGGTGGTGGTGGAGTGGGGGTGGTGGCGGAATGGGAGTGGGGCTGGGAGAGCGGCTATCCTGTGTTGGCGGTGCGAGGAGCACCGTGGGAATATTGCCTTAATGCTCGGATTACGCCTTGTTGTTGATACGGATGCGCTGCCTCTCACCATCGATGCCCTCTTCCCCGCCTTGGCCGTCCCAACCTCCTAACTTCTCTTTTAAGGAAACCCTCCGCCCCCCTTCTATTAATTCCCCCATTTCCCCTACAACCCAGAAACTGGTGGCGCTGGCTCGCGAGCTGGACCTGTTCCCCACTTGGAACAAGTACTGCACCAGCGCAAAGGTGCTGCGGGAAAGCACGCCAGCCGACATGCGGGTAAGGAGCCGTACGACACATGTTATACAGACCGTACGACGATCGTGTGTTCTAAAACATTCCGTGTGTTAAGAAAACTGTGTGTACGCATGTCCCTCACCCCGCACTGCACCCGCTTCATGCTGGTGACGGACGGACATGTCTTGCATTCGCTCTTTTCCTGATGTGTTTGCTCTCACCATCTTTCCCTGATTCATTCTCCTTTGACCCCCCCCCTCCCACCTCCCCTCCCACCTCCTCCCCTCTTCTCTATTCTCTCTTCTCATTTATCTTTTCCTCCCCTCCCCCCTTCCCCCTCCCCAGGTGTACGTGTCCCTGTGGATGCCCTGGCCCTTCAGCGACGTGGGCTTCTGTGTTGATGTCAACGGACTCGACCTGTTTGACGACGAAGGGTGCATCGTGGCGGCGATTTGCAGCCCGGATCGCAAGGTGGGGGCGCGGGGGAGGAAGAGGGGGGAGGAGGGAGGGCGAGGAGACGATGGGGGGGACGCGCGCGTAGTTTAGGACGTGATAGACAGCCGTTATTACGCTGCTTGGGAATCTTCAAAGCCCTGACAGTGACCCACGGGTCGCTTGAGCCTGGTTTACCGGCCGTTTGGTTGTTTCCTTCCTAGGACAGATTACCCCAGCTCTTTCTCTGTACACTACCAACCCCTACCACTCTCCCCCTCACTACCGCTCTGCGCACCTATGTTGGTTGCGTCCCTTCCTATAACTACACACTTGAGCTTGCCATGCACGAAAGAGTGGCCGTCCCTAACCCTACACCACCGCTCCCCGCACCCGCCTCCTCAGGACCGCACCACGCCTCTGCCGCCGGGTTCCGAGAAGCACACCAAGATCCGGCTGCTGCGCCCCAGCTGCCTTACCTTCACGCCGCTGCCGCCCAAGACCCCAGGCGGCACTCTGCGCACGCACTGCCACGTGCAGGCCTACGTGGACACGGGCGGCAAGCATGTGCCGGCGGTTGTGATCTCATTCGTGCTCAAGGTGTTCAGCCCCTTCATCTACGGAACCGTGAAGAAGGTGATGAAGGGCGGGGGCGCGGGGGAAGGGGGTGCGTGTAAGCGTCCATGTGTGTGGAAGAGAGCAGGCCGCGGGTCAGTGTGGGTGATGGGAGTTATTGTTCCTCGCAAGCAACAAGACCCTTTGCGCATGGTTTATCCTTTCACCGCTTGCCACTGCTGTGCATAATACGCTGCCATGCATCTCCCATCCCCGTTGCTGGCTCGCGCAGGTGCTGGCCTCCGCCTTCGGCGACCCCAGGGGTCCGCTGCCGTCACGCATGCGCGAGCAGCCGCACCTGTACGACATGGTTCGGCGCCGTTCCGAAGCCTACCTGGCGGCACGCAAGGCGGCTGGGGCGGCTGGGGCGGGGATGCCGCAGCCGCCGCTGTATGCGCCGCTGGTGGCAGCTCCCGCCGGATACTGAGTAGTGGGGTTTGTTTGCTGGACAGGTTGTGTTAGGCAGTGTTTCCCATGCCACCTGCATGCCGTGCATCGGTTTCTTTGCGTGCAGGTGTTGATAACGGTTGAAACGTGGTTTGGGGCGGGAGGGCGTAACACAAAAGGGATGTGTACTTTTCAGCCCTCTTGCGATGGTGGGAGAAAGGCACCGCTCTTCGCTGGGTTGGTTGCTTGTTACGTAATTACTTGTGGGTATGAATGACGGGAGGGCGGTAGCCACCAGAGTTGGAGGTTTCGGAGAAAATGAAAAGGGGCAGCTTGTACCGTATGAGAAGCGAGAAACATTACAGGTGGAGAAGAGGTGCCGACAAAGGGCGAGATCGACAACAACATGAGGAGAAGAGGGGGGTTCGAAGGGACTCTGGTGATGCACGTCTTTGCGAGAGGTGCCTCAACAAGATGGGCAGCGGTATTGAGGCCCCAAGAATGGAATGAGCGACACAGTGGTCCCCCCCCCAATAAAAATTGGGCGCCATTTAGGCGGCGATGTCACCCGGGAGTGGACGACAATAGTTGGACGACAAGCGCATGCGGCTCTTCCTACATGGGCGCGGAAGTGTGTTTGGGTTCTTCTAACAGGCCCAACGGGTCTGTGATCATGCAAGGGCAGTGTGCATGGGGTAAGGGCTGCGTTGCATGGGCAGCTGGTTTGCGGAACCTTTCTGCCCGCCAGCCCCTCTTTTTCAACATGACCTTGTCGCACACTGGTCGACGTTGGACCTTTCACGTCAGTGTTTGTGCACACGTCGTGTACATGAGGGGGTTGTGTGTTTTTCTTGTTGCAAGGCTTTGGACGCGTGGCCCCCTTATTCTGGTTCGTTGGATCGGTTTCCTACGTGGCCTAAACACCAAGCGTTGCAATGTTGTCATGTGAACGTACGGTATGCACTTTGTTGTTTTGGGTGTGAGGTTGTGGTCTTGCTATCGCGGAATGGATGCAGAGCCTTCGCTGTTGCTGTGGCCAGGTAGTACTACTGCTGTCAGAAACGCTAACCAAAGCACGCAGGAGAGAAAAGCGGTAGCCCTTGACGCTGGAGGGCAAAGGGAGATGAGTTTGCCGCCGCGCGGCGGTAGAAGAGCTGCGAAGGAGAGATGTTATTGTTGCTGGTCCGGTCCTGTCCAACTGCATAATTTTCAGCTCGCATATGAACACAAGAAAATGCCAACGCACATGGGCCTTGGCCGTACCGGTACGGTAAAGCAGTTTGATTTACCGTACGTTGTGCCCGTCGCCGTTGGTCGTTACTGCTTATTGTCTTTGATGGTCGGGAGCGGGTACCTTGCATGTAGCGCTTATATGAAGAGGTTTTATGATTACGTGAGACGGTTGAGAGAGGAAATCATGTTTGCCGGAAGCTGGAGAGCCGGAGGGCTGGAGAAGGATGTATCCCTGCATTGTTGAACTTCCGTCCAATTACGAATGTGGATCTTAGGTTTAGCCCCGCGGGAGTTATGCAACCTCCGCCTTGCTACCCTAATAACCGTGGCGGTTAGTGGCTTGGGTCTGGCAGTTGGCCATGAAGTCCCGGAAGTCGTTATAATCTTCCCCTTCCCAACTGTCGGGCCTTGTACAATGCCGCAGCCATAGCGGATATGTACATAAGGGAATGACGAGGCGGTAGTGTCTCCCTGCAAGCAGACGCATGTAGCAGTGTATGACACTTGTAGCACTCGAGTAAAAGTAGTTGCGGGCCTTAATCTGTTAATTGAGTGCATAGGATCATAGCCTTTTGGGTGTTGGGTCTTGGTTTCTGTCGCGCGTTACTTTCTTGTTTTGAGGGGCATATATCCGTCCTCATAGCGTGCCGAATAGTTGTACGTTTGTCAGTCGCAATCGTAAGAACATTGCTGTTATTGTCGCAACGTGTTGCAGAACACTCGCTTGTTTCCCTGGCCATGCTCGGCACGGCTGCCTGGTTCTGTTGCTACGAGGCGCAACCCTCGGTTGTGCCGTGGGAACTATTAAACGCGGCTTTGGAAATATGCCTAGGCGTTACTTGGGCATGGAAGGTAGAGGCATGGACGTTGAGGGGTGTATTGGAACTTCGGGAGGTATGAATGGGAGTACTGGTAACGGATGCGAGTTTTGAGGCGGTTCTCTCGTCGTAGCTGGTACGGATAGCTGCTAGCATGCCACAGCTGCCGATGCTTGCCTGATTGGGCACGTCTGCTGGGCCGTGCGCGGTGCGTCTCCGGCGCCCGGGGTCGGCTGACGTTGGGACAGCTTTGGGACGCACGCCTCGGGCCTGCGACCTGTCATGGATGCACCTGTTTACAAGGAACATTGGTTGGAGGGTTTCGGAGCGGCATGAAGTACTGTAACATACGCTTGCATGCGTGTAATGCCAAGCAGCGCAAACCCCTGAATACGCTCCTGCCTGAGAATTCCCAGATCTCCTCGCAGCGTCCCGCAAGGCTAAGATAAAGACACGATGGTCAGTCAAGAGGACTCCAGGTTGTGACATTACCGTTTAGGGTACCGGTAGCTCAGCATGCCAGTAGGTTCAAAACGTCAAAAGGCAGGATGGGTTAACTTTCCGCATTGGGGGATCCTGGGTTGCTTCCTTGGATCCATGCAACTCGGACTTAGGTCGCTACTGCCGGGGGTTTAGCTTCGGCGTTGGGTAGCGTAGCGTTGGAACAGGTAGGCCCAGCATGTAGCGCAGTAGCTCAAAGAATGTTGAAGGGAAACCCGGTTGACGCGCACTGCTCATGTCCAGAACTAACCTCTGCGTTCTTGGGTCTGGGAGGTTGATGGCTCTTCAGCCTTTGCTGCCAACCTGCCCCTTTGACTCTTGACAGCTCATGGGACATGTTTTTCGCAGCTTGGCCTGGCCGACGCGCTTGTTTTGGACATACGTATACAGAACTTGAATTGAAAGTGAAACCTTGTTTGCTGCGTCTGTGTCGCCTCTGTTGTCACGATCCCTTTCCGTGCTGGCGCGCCATCAGCTGCACAGCATTCACAGCATACCACGCCTCCCACTCGTACACACCCTAGATCCCCGATGGCCAGTCCACCTAAGTAAGTTAGCGTGCTTGCTAATATCCGCTTTAATCGCTTTAGCGAAATGGGTCCGATCCTTCCTCGAACAACAACGAGAGCCCTCGGCAATGGTAACGGTTCCTTAAACACTAGCCACAGAGCTTGCGGATTACTACCTCTAAGAACATGCTTCCTTCAGCACATCCCGCATAGGCGCTGTCGCCAAAATTGGAATAGCCTCAGAACTGATAACCACCACTCAGTTGCTGCGGGAACAAGAGGCGCATCCCTAACGCGAGCATTGCCGAATGTTGCTGACAATGCCATAGCTTTTAAGGAGGAATATACTGGCGACATCGAGGCTGCAGAAGAAGAGTCGCTCAAAGTGCTCGAATGGCCGGCTGTGTGCAAACAGGTCCGAAACACCTGCTCATATTCACCGCAATAAACTTACGAACATATAGCAGAAACAATTATACGAGCGCAATCGGAAATGCTTCACGTTTGCAGGTGGCATGCTTCTGTGGGACAAGCATTGCCGCCGAGCTCGTGGCGAGCGGGCAGCTGCCGCGGGGTCGCAGCCGCGAGGAAAGCGAGCTGCTGCTGCAGCAAACCGCGGAAGCGCTTGCGGCAAAGCTTGAGTGAGCACCGGACCGGGTTTGGTCCCCTAGGAGGGGTGTTGTTGCTGCATGGGGCATGGTACAAGGACGGATTGTAGGGCCAGCAATCGCAGGCCTGACGGACGCACCTCCTGAATCCTTTTATTCTTGCAAGACTGTTGCCGCTGCTACACCCTCTGCTTCTGCTCCTGCTGAACCAACCAGGGTCCGCGGCTGTCTAGACATCCGGCCCGCAGCGGAGGCGGCCGCCGCAGGGGCGTGCCTCAACGCACGACAGCTGGAGGTGAGGACGCAGGGGTGTCGTTCCATGTGAGGACGTGCCAGCGTGTGCGTGCGGTCGACCACCGGACGGCTGCCCCACTGTGCGTCCGCAGAGCCCCGCTGTGACCCCGCACCAGCTGCACCGCTGGGCCCGTTGTGCACCTACGCTTTCCCGCACATCCCGCTTCCTTCCATTCCCTTCCCCCCTCCCGGCCCCCCCCCCCCCAGGGTGTGGCTGCCACCCTAGAGGCCGCTTTCGCCCTCAAAGCAGCTGCCACCGCCACCGCCACCGCACCCCTCTGCCACTCTGGTAGCAGCAGCAGCAGCAGCAGCGGTGGCCCCAACACCACCACCGTCAGCAGCAGCAAGCGAAGCACGAAACCAGCCTCCTCGCCGGCCGCTGCAGCGCCCCCGGGCGACTCCGACTCTGACTCCACCGTCTCCACCCCTCCTGCTGCTGCCGCTGATCCTGCTGCTGCATCCGAATCGGACCCTGCCGTTGCCCCTGCTGCGGCCGCCCCGCTGTTCCCCCACCTTGCCGCCCTGGCAGCGGGAATCAGCGAGGAGGAGCGCATCCTGCTTCGGGCCATCCGGGGGTGCATTGAGGTGGGCGCAAACACACACGTGCCACTCGTGTCCCATGCATGGCTCTGTACACCCCACCCCACCCTACCACTCCAGCCATGTAACCCGTAAGGCCGCCCCTGCCCCTGCTCTTGCTCTCGTCATTTGCCGCATCTTCTTCTGTCCATGCATGCATGCACTCTCTTCCTCACCTCCCTCACCTCCCTCACCTCCCTCACCTCCCTCACCTCCCTCACCTCCCTCACCTCCCTCACCTCCCTCACCTCCCTCACCTCCCTCACCTCCCTCACCTCCCTCACCTCCCTCACCTCCCTCACCTCCCTCACCTCCCTCACCTCCCTCACCTCCCTCACCTCCCTCACCTCCCTCACCTCCCTCACCTCCCTCACCTCCCTCACCTCCCTCACCTCCCTCACCTCCCTCACCTCCCTCACCTCCCTCACCTCCCTCACCTCCCTCACCTCCCTCACCTCCCTCACCTCCCTCACCTCCCTCACCTCCCTCACCTCCCTCACCTCCCTCACCTCCCTCACCTCCCTCACCTCCCTCACCTCCCTCACCTCCCTCACCTCCCTCACCTCCCTCACCTCCCTCACCTCCCTCACCTCCCTCACCTCCCTCACCTCCCTCACCTCCCTCACCTCCCTCACCTCCCTCACCTCCCTCACCTCCCTCACCTCCCTCACCTCCCTCACCTCCCTCACCTCCCTCACCTCCCTCACCTCCCTCACCTCCCTCACCTCCCTCACCTCCCTCACCTCCCTCACCTCCCTCACCTCCCTCACCTCCCTCACCTCCCTCACCTCCCTCACCTCCCTCACCTCCCTCACCTCCCTCACCTCCCTCACCTCCCTCACCTCCCTCACCTCCCTCACCTCCCTCACCTCCCTCACCTCCCTCACCTCCCTCACCTCCCTCACCTCCCTCACCTCCCTCACCTCCCTCACCTCCCTCACCTCCCTCACCTCCCTCACCTCCCTCACCTCCCTCACCTCCCTCACCTCCCTCACCTCCCTCACCTCCCTCACCTCCCTCACCTCCCTCACCTCCCTCACCTCCCTCACCTCCCTCACCTCCCTCACCTCCCTCACCTCCCTCACCTCCCTCACCTCCCTCACCTCCCTCACCTCCCTCACCTCCCTCACCTCCCTCACCTCCCTCACCTCCCTCACCTCCCTCACCTCCCTCACCTCCCTCACCTCCCTCACCTCCCTCGCTCCCTCTTTCCCTCCCCCCTCCATCTACAGCACGGCGGTGTGTGCGACGGCGCCTCCGAGGCCCTAGCCGCCCTCCGAGCCCAGCGGCGGGCCAACAAGGAGCAGCTGCGGGCTGAGGTGGAGCGATGGGCGCGGCAGCTGGTGACCCGTGGGGCGGCGGAGCCGGGGGCGGTGGCGCTCGTGCGGGGTCGACTGTGCGTGGGCGTGCGGGTGAGGCGACTCGGCATGCATACCTCCTCCGCATGCATACCTCCTCCGCATGCCATGCCCCCCACCCCCACGCCTCCCTCCCTTCCCTCCCTCCCCAGGCGGGTCGTCAGGGCGAGCTCCCCCGCGGCAGTGTGCGACTGGGCGCCTCCTCCTCCGGCGCCACCCTCTACCTGGAGCCGCAGCCCTGTGTGGCACTCAACAACGCGGAAGCACTGCTGGCGGAGCAGGAGGAGCGGGAGGCGGGGCGGGTGCTCGGGCTGCTTTCGGGCATGGTAGGGCATGGGATAGGTGGGGTGGGGGTGGGGGGTGGCAGAAGGGAAGCGGCAGGATCACGCTGCATGTAGCCTCAGACCTCGCTTTCTAGAGATCTAGACCCTGTCTGACGCTTGGCTCTCCCATCCCCTCACCCCGCATCCTCCACTAGCCTGTGGCTTTGGTATATCTCTGCCTCCCACCTCTCCCCCACTCCCCCCCCAGCTGGGCTCCCGAGCCCCCCAGGTGCTCTCCCTGCTGTCAGCGGCGGTGCAGCTTGATGTGGTGGCGGCACGGGCGGCGCATGCGTGCTGGCTGGGGGCCGTGCGGCCGGAGTTCGTGGCAGCGGAGGCGGAGGAGGAGGAGGGGGAGGGGGAGGAGGAGGGGTGCAGCAGCAGCAGCAGCAGCTGCCCACCGCTGCACCTGCCCGGAGCCATGCACCCGGTGCTCATGCAGCGGGGGCTGCCGCCCCTACCGCACCCGCCCTCGGTGAGGAGGAGGCCTGTCATGTGTTCACGTCTGTGTCGATACGCACCGCCTGCATGTAACCGTATACGTGTTCGGCTCGAGGAGCTCATGCAGGAAAGGAGCATGTACTACATGTGTTTGGGACTCCCTGGCCTCGCTAATTGCTACTGCTTCTGAGCGAAATGCATCCCTCCTCGCCCCCTTACCCCCCAGATTGATGACAACCGCTTCGATCGAGATTTCCAAGCGGCCCCCGCCTGGGAGCTGATGCGGCGGCGGGCGGTGAGGCCCGAGGGACCTGCATCGGAGCTGGGAGGCAGTAGCGGCAGTGGCGGTGGTGGAGCAGCGGAGGGAGGGGCAGGGGCTGAGGGGGGTGGCGGTGGTGGCGGCGGAGCTTCGTTGCTGCCCAAGCCGCTGGACCTGCGGGTGCCTGCGGGGCGGAGGGTGGTCACTATCACAGGTGGGGAGGTGGGGTGAAAGAGGAGTAATGGTGGGGTGACGCGGGTAAAGTGTAATGATGTTGAGGGGTAAGGTCGGATGTGGGGTGGAATCCCGGGTCGGGAGGGACTTACCCGCCTTCCCGTTCCTCTCACCCCACCCCGTCCTCTTCCTCCTGCTCTACCCTCAACACAGGTCCAAACACGGGCGGCAAGACGGTGACCCTGAAGGCAGCGGGTCTGTTAGTCCTCATGGCCCAGGCGGGTCTCTACCTCCCCTGCAGCCGCCAACAGGAGGAGGAGGAGGGTCGTCAGCAGGAGCGGGCGGTGACCCACGGGTCACCAGCCCCTGCTGCTGCTACTGCTGCTGCTCCTCTTCCTTCCTCACATACTCCGCGTCTGGTCTGGTTTGACCGCGTGTTGGCTGACATCGGCGACTCGCAGAGCTTGCAGCAGAACCTCTCCACCTTCAGCGGACACATCAGGAGGATCAAGCGGGTGAGAGCTGAGAGGGGGAGATGTTTTTGTTGTGTTTAGAGTTATTTGTTTTTTTGAGAGAGAGTGTGTGTGTCTAACTCCTTTAAGGTTATTTGTTTTGAGAGAGAGAGTGTGTGTCTAACTCAATTCGCATCGCTCTTCCTAGCCTCTACTGTGTGTTCATGTACCTTCACTTCAATGCGCGCTGCTGCCCTTGTACCTCCCTAGATCCCCTCCACTCCCTCCTCCCCAACGCTCTCCCACCCAGCCCACGGACTCCGTTGCCTCCCCTTTCTTTTATCCTCCCCCCCCTAGATTCTGCGCTCCGCCTCCCGCCGCTCGCTGGTGTTGTTGGACGAGGTGGGCAGCGGTACGGACCCGCTGGAGGGGGCGGCACTGGCGCGGGCGGTGCTGGACACGCTAGCAGGGCAGGTGGGGGAGGGGAGGGGAGAGGAGGCTGTGAAGGGGGAGGAAGGGTGGGGGGCGCTAAGGACATGACGGCGAGTGTTCTCTAGACGGCATCGAGCCCCCAGGCAAAGGGTGGCTGGGTGGGGATGGACTTCCTGAAATGGGATGATAGGAAAGGTTAGGGAGGGGCAGGACAGGGCCTGGGGCCTGGGGTTATGCCAACAGGGCCGCGGGGAGCACAATGGGTCTACGGGGCACCGTAGGAGGACCATGCCCCCTCCTAGCCCACTTCCTCACCCCTCACCCCCCAAACACCGCCCCCCCCCCAGGCCCGCCTCACGCTCGCCACCAGCCACCATGCGGAGCTCAAACGCGCCGCGGAGGACGACCCGCGGTTCATCAACTGCTGCATGACCTTCGACACCGCCACTCTGCGACCCACCTACCAACTGAGGTGGGGGAGGGGAGGAAAGGGAGTGGGTACAGTACCGGTGAAGAAGAGAGGAAGGAACTACCGGTGCCTAACCGGTAGCTGGCCGTAATTAACGGTAACCGTAACTGTGTGACCTAAATGCGCAAGAGGCTCCACCACGGGTAGCTTGCATGCATCACGAATTCATGACAGCTGCATGTGTGTTAAGAAAACTGGCCGCGAGTAGGCCGTGTGTGTGGAGGGGGTAAAAGGGCAAGAAACCAACCCTAACCGCATGACAATGGACCTAACCGCACGCGTGGTTGCAGGTGGGGGGCGGCGGGAGCCAGCAACGCCCTAGACATCGCGGAGGCGCTGGGGTTCGACAGTGTCGTGGTGCGGGAGGCTCGTGCGCTGGCGAGCATCATGGCAGCGGCATCGGCATCGGAGGCGACGGATGGCGCAGCAGCCTCCTCCTCATCCTCGTCTATAGCCTCATCCACCTCCTTCACCTCTTCTCCCGCGCTGGTGGGTGGTGGAGGCAGCAGCCGGATTGCGGGAGTGGCTCGCAGCCTGGTACGGCAGCTGGAGGAGACGAGGGCGGAGGTAGCGGCGGAGCAGGTGCTGCGGGCCAGGCGGGCGGAGAAGCAGGCGCGGTTGCAGGTGCGTGTGGGTGCGTGGGTGTTTGGATAACATGTGTGCGGTTGCCCGTTGCACGTTACAATCGTCCGAAGGTGTGCGTCCGTGTGTGCGTGAGGGGTGGTGGTGGCGCGTATGTATGTGTGTGTTAAAATAACAGGCCGAAGACTGACCCAGGGGTCGTACGTTGCGTTGCTGTCACACGTGGAGGCAATTAGGGAAGTGTGTGTTTTACGGCATGGTTCGTACGCTATGTTAGTGTAGGGCATGTGCATGCGTGAGTGTACCGCCATGCATGATTGTACCGCAGGCCACCATTCAGAAGGTTCGGGAGATGGAGCTGCAGCTCAAGGCCACACCCCGGGAGGTACGGCGGAGCGACTGGTTGTACGGGTGTATTGCCGTACTACTGAAACAACGCGTCCGTGGATAGCATGGGAAGTTGGAAATGTTGTCAAGAAAGCCGTACAAAAACATTCCAAGGAGGTAGTATTAATTAGTCGGCCGCAAGCAGGAACGCATGAGCACGTTCCGCACGTTGCGCATGCTTTCGTGTAAGCTGCGTTCCTGCTCCTGTTGATGTTCATCGTAATTGTGTGTGGGTATGTGTATGTTTCCGTTTGCGCAGATCGTCCTCGAACGCGACCGCCTGGCAGTGGAGGTGCAAACCGCCCTGGATGCATTCGCTGCTGGGTTGAAGCCTCAGGTGGGAGGGTGGGTTGGTGAGGCGGGGGAGGTGGGTGCTGATCAGGTGTGGGGTTGCTTTTGAGGTTGCTGTGTTATGGACGTCATACCATAGCATGCCACACCAACCTTGGCACTATATTTACCGGTAATGAGGAGGTTGGCTGGGAGGCGTGCCGGCTTACCCTTGCATGGCTGTCCCTGCTGCCGCTGTTGCCGCCGCAGGAGCCCGTGGAGCAAGCGTTGGAGTGAGTCGCCGGGTCCCATCAGCATGCCAGCCCCAATCCAATCCAAGCTGATTCAACCACTGGATTTTTGCCTTCGTCTTCAGCTTAGAGGAGCGGGTCGTGGGCCTGTCCAAAAATGTATCCCAGGCTGCCACTAAATTCTGCTACCGCTGATCTGCTCTCCTGCCCTTGCTGCTGTTCCTTGACAGTCCCCAACCTGGGTTGCCTGCCTCTGCTCTGCAGGAAGATCGAGGCGCTGATTCCCCGGGAGGTGGCGGCGCTGGGGGGCGGCAGGAGCGGCGCCTCCGGCAAGAGCCGCCGGAGGGAGGGTTCCAGCGGAGGAGGAGAGGGGGGCGACGAAGGAGAGCAGGGAGAGGAGGATGGGGATGAGGACGATGAGGAGAAGGAGGATGAGGAGGAGGATGGCGAGGCGCTGCGGCCGGGAGATACGGTGCATGTTAAATCGTACGGCGAGATGGGGGATGCGCAGGTGGTGAGCGTTAAAGGTATGTGCCCGGTGCCCGGTTTGCACTGGTACGCGGTCGAAAGTGGTGTGGGAAAGGAACTGAAATGGTGTGAATGACTGGCTGCAGGATTGCATGCCAGCCCGCTTCCTTGTTGCGTGGGATTGCCCAGCTTGCTGCTGCTGCTGCCGCCTTCACGCTCCTCCTCTTTTCTCCTCCGCCGCTGTGCCGCCCAACCTCCTGAACTTTGACCCCATTCTCGTCTCGCTTGCTGCTGCTGCCAACGTTGCTGCGTGTTGCCGTCTCTCTCCATCTCCCCCTCTCTCTCTTCCCCCTCTCTCCATCTCTCTCTTCCCCATCTCCCCGTCTCTCTCCATCTCCCCCTCTTTTTCCCCTCCCCCTCTTCCCGCTTCCCCCCCAGGTGAGCACGTCACGGTGCGCTTCAACACCATCATGTTCTCAGCCGCCTCAGCCTTCTCAAGGAAAGCACGGCCCGTCAAACTACACAGGCGGCAGGTGCGGTGCCGGCGGATGTCTGTCTGTCGGCCGAGACTGGAAGTATGGATTCGCATGGGCACGGGCTCGCACTCTCACCTACCAGACCAACCCGACCGTGCGCCCTCCTTCGGACCTCTCTCTCTCTTCTTCCTCCACCTTTGCCACCTCTTCACGTCCACCTCCCCCCCTCAACAGGTCCGTCGCATCCAATCCGGCAGCTCCCTGCCGCTGGGTGCCATACCCTGGATGGACTCCTACCAGCTGCTGACATCCGATGTGAGCCGGGCTCTCCATGGGGAGGAAGCGGAGAAGCAGGAGCGGGATGAGGAGCAGGACGAGGAGGATGGGAAGCAGGATGGATCTAGCACCGCTGCTGCTGCTGCTGCTGCGGGTACAGCAGGCGGGCAGCAGCAGGGGGAGCAGCAGCCGCAGCTGCTGCCGCCCGGTGCGGCTCTGCTGGCGGAGGTGGCGGCGACGGAGGAGGACTTGTTGGTTGGCGACTGGGGAAGTGCTGAGCAGACCGAGGTGGTGTCGGAGGGACTGGTGCTGGAGGAGGAGGGGGAAGGGGAGGGGGAGGAGGAGGGTGGGAGGAGGAAGGGGAGCAGCCGGAGAGGGAGAGGGAAGGCAGCGGCTGCCGACGTGACTGCCGACGTGACTGCGAGCACTGCCAAGACGAGGAGGAGGCGTTCTAGGGGTGCCAAGGAGGACGAGGAGGACGAGGAGGAGGGGAAAGAAGGCGGTGAAGACGTTTGTGACGGAAAGCGCGCTCCTGCTCCTGCTGCTGCTACGGTGGCGGGGGGTGCGGCGGGGCGACGGTGGCGTCGGGCGACTGCGACTGCTGCGGCTGCCCAGCAGGCTGAGGTCGAGGAGGCACAGGCAGCAGCAGCAGCGGCGGAGGCGGAGGCGGCAGGAACAATCCCAGCTGGTTTCCTGGTGCCGGAGCAGACGGCTGGCAACACGCTGGATGTGGCAGGGGAGGTAGGTGACAGGGGAAGGGAGGGAGCGGGGAAGCAGTGAGGGCGGGAACAACGATAGCGACCTATGTTAAGTGCGAAGGCGTGATGGGATATTTCCTCAAAGCCATGAGCCCCTGGCGTATTTTCACCCGCCGCTGGCTGATCCCACAGGTCCCCGAGCTCGCGGCAGCCGACCTCGAGGACCGCCTGCGATCAGCAGCTCCCGGGTCCGTACTTTTCGTGCAACACGGGATGGGTACGGGTGCAGTACGTCGAGCCGTACATGCGTTACTAGAGAAGCGGCGGGCGCCAAAAGGTCGGGTACGACAGTGGGGCGAGGCGCCTGGGAGCCGGGGGCAGGTGACGGTGGTGTGGGTGTGAGGGCATGCATGCAGGGTGTGGAGTGGTGGTGGTGGCGGTGGTGGTGGTGGCGTTGGCGGTGGTGAGGGCCTCAAGAGGGCAAGGAAAGGGGCGGATTTAGGGCGGCGGGTGTGAAGGGAGGACTGAGGAGTTGCGTGGGTCGAAGACTTGCGAGGGCTGCTAGCTTGGCGGGGCTGGTGGGGTTGAGGTGACCGGCTGTGAGTGCTGCGGGTTGAGCAAGGTATTAGCCGGGAACTTGGGCGCATTGCGCGCAATGGAAATTACGTTGAAAATGGGCTGGTTGCGCGCAACGGTCCCGCGCGACACGCCCATGTTCCTGGCCTGACAAATCTGCCTCACTTTAATCTGCAGTATGTATTTATGGGCATAGCGCCATACTCTCTATGTGAAGCGTTCACCGGCGTCGCGAAAGGTGCAAGAAACGTTGTTGACCATGTATGGGCTGGTTGCGCGCAACGGTCCCGCGGGACACGCCCAATTTCCTGGCCCGACAAATTTGTCTCGGTTTTAACTGCAGTATGTATTTATGGGCATAGCGCCATACTCTCTATCTGCAGCGTTCACCGGCGTTTCGAAAGATGCAAGAAACGGTGTCGACTATGTACGGGCTGGTTGCGCGCAACGGTCCCGCGCGACACGCCCAATTTCCTGGCCTGACAATTCCGTCTCGTTTTAAAGCACAGTATGTATTTAGGTGTAGCACCGTATTCTCTGATTGCATTTGCATCGAGTGTATAGCCCTAGTGCGTGCGATACTGGGATTCCACATATGCTGGTTATCCCAGGTATCGCTACGCTGGCCCGACCTGCTGATCTTAGTACTGTGTTCCTCATAGAGTGTCACAATGTCGCCCTTTCCCGAAGTCAGGGAGCATGGCGAAAGTCGTTGACAGAGCTGCCCTTCAAGCATACGTCTTTGCGACAAATGCACCGTTCTACCTAACATAAACTGTAAAATAATTTATAAGAAAGCCACAGAAAACGCTGGAGGTGCATTCTGCTGGAGGCCATGCCGGTCAATTGACCAAGCTGAACCTTCTCTCGCGAACATTGCTAACCGCCAGGACAGGACTAAACAAACCATCAGCTAAAGCTTGAAGGCGCGACTTTAACAGGGAAGTCTTGCCATGGGCAACTTACGGGCCCACGGGACCGCACGACGTTAGGAAACCGCATAAGCCTCAAGATATACACAGGATAGGCTCGTTACGGCATAAGGCAACACACAAAGCATGTAAGCAAGCGTAATGCTGAAGTGGTTGCGGCGTGCGCGCATGGTTGGGGCGGTATACTTGTCTTTGATCAGGGACCTAATTAATTCCAGGGTTTGGGGCACGTATCCGACCGTGCGAGCGGCACCTGAGCCCGCCGTCACACCTACAGACTCCTTAGACATATAGTATCATGTGGCCAAGCATGGGGCTCGATTGGTTACGCCGTGCGAGTGTGGTTGGGCAGGATGTGCCGTTCAGACCGGGTGCATGGTGGGGGGCCTAGTCAAACCCAGGGTTTGGGGCACTTATCCGACCGTGCGAGCGGTACCTGAGCCCGCCGTCACACCTACAGACTCCTTAGACATATAGTATCATGTGGCCAAGCGTGGGGCTTGATTGGTTACGCCATGCGAGTGTGGTTGGGCAGGATGTGCCGTTCAGACCGGGTGCATGGTGGGGGGCCTAGTCAAACCCAGGGTTTGGGGCACTTATCCGACCGTGCGAGCGGTACCTGAGCCCGCCGTCACACCTACAGACTCCTTAGACATATAGTGTCATGTGGCCAAGCGTGGGGCTTGATTGGTTACGCCATGCGAGTGTGGTTGGGCAGGATGTGCCGTTCAGACCGGGTGCATGGTGGGGGGCCTAGTCAAACCCAGGGTTTGGGGCACTTATCCGACCGTGCGAGCGGTACCTGAGCCCGCCGTCACACCTACAGACTCCTTAGACATATAGTATCATGTGGCCAAGCGTGGGGCTCGATTGGTTACGCCATGCGAGTGTGGTTGGGCAGGATGTGCCGTTCAGACCGGGTGCATGGTGGGGGGCCTAGTCAAACCCAGGGTTTGGGGCACTTATCCGACCGTGCGAGCGGTACCTGAGCCCGCCGTCACACCTACAGACTCCTTAGACATATAGTGTCATGTGGCCAAGCGTGGGGCTCGATTGGTTACGCCATGCGAGTGTGGTTGGGCAGGATGTGCCGTTCAGACCGGGTGCATGGTGGGGGGCCTAGTCAAACCCAGGGTTTTGGGGCACTTATCCGACCGTGCGAGCGGTACCTGAGCCCGCCGTCACACCTACAGACTCCTTAGACATATAGTGTCATGTGGCCAAGCGTGGGGCTTGATTGGTTACGCCATGCGAGTGTGGTTGGGCAGGATGTGCCGTTCAGACCGGGTGCATGGTGGGGGGCCTAGTCAAACCCAGGGTTTGGGGCACTTATCCGACCGTGCGAGCGGTACCTGAGCCCGCCGTCACACCTACAGACTCCTTAGACATATAGTATCATGTGGCCAAGCGTGGGGCTCGATTGGTTACGCCATGCGAGTGTGGTTGGGCAGGATGTGCCGTTCAGACCGGGTGCATGGTGGGGGGCCTAGTCAAACCCAGGGTTTGGGGCACTTATCCGACCGTGCGAGCGGTACCTGAGCCCGCCGTCACACCTACAGACTCCCTAGACATATAGTGTCATGTGGCCAAGCGTGGGGCTCGATTGGTTACGTCGTGCGAGTGTGGTTGGGCATGCATGTAGGTTTCCCACATCTCTTGGACCCGCGGGACCCTGGTCCTCGTTTTTATCCTTAACACCTTGAAACCAGGCAACCTGACCCTCTATGCATCCTGTTTGTTCTAGGTGAATGCGAGTCAACAGGCGGGCAGCGCTCAAGCAAGGCATTCCAATGGATGCCGTCGCTCGCGCGCCTTGTAGCCCATAAAGTATGCAGGTTAAGCCATACAAACTGCACATTATCTTCTTAGCTTTAGTATGATTATAGCCCAGCATCTCTGCTGTAAAGATAGTCCCAGGAATTCGGCCACCAAACATTGACCTTCGTTTCATTCCCTGCCTTCACGAGAGGTTGGATAACAACGGCATACTAAAAACGCTCAGTGTGGACAGCGCAATACCCGGTTCACCAGGCTATGTTTGGCAATTCGCGAGGCCATACCGGTATATGGAATACCATCATAAGTTGTAACCACCACAAATGGTATGGCTGTATGAGCAGTATCCCACTATTTCTGGGATTACGCAATTGGTCAAGCTTGGGCGTCTTTACGCACAATCCTTTATAAGGGCTAAAGTATGATCCCAGCATTCCACCTCAACTATGACAAATTACCGGGAGACTTTGGGGTTTGCTGCGGGAGATCATTGTGCCGTTGTCAAAGTTACAAACTGCGGCTTCATTTTATGATAGCCAGGCAGAGCCTGGCAAATGGGCTGGCTGCGCGGGACCATTGCGCGCAACCAGCCCATGTGCACTCTCTAACCGTTTCTTACATTTCTCAATGTCCCATTAAACGCTACAAGAAGAGGACACCATATTATGCCCAAAAATACGCTCTGCGGTGTAAAACGAGGCGAATTTGTTAAGCCAGGAACATGGGCGTGTCGCGCGGGGCCGTTGCGCGCAACCAACCCATACATGGTCGGCAACCTTTTCTTACATCTTCTGTGACGCCGGTGGACTCTGCTAATAGATAATACAGCGCTATTTTCATAAATGCATACTGCGGTTTGAAACGAGGCAGGTTTGTGAGGCCAGGAACATGGGCGTGTTGCGCGGGACCGTTGCGCGCAACCAGCCCATTTTCAGCGTAATTTCCATTGCGCGCAATGCGCCCAAGTTCATGGCGGGTGCCTTACTGGCGGGTTAGGACAGTGTGGGTGAGGAGTGCGAGCAGCTTGAGGGTGACGCCGAGAACAAAAAGCGTGCGAAACGAAGCCTTGAAAAGAAGCCTTGGCGCTTGTAGCCTAGATGAGAAGGCCTTGGATACAACTGTAAGATGCCGGTAGTACTGGGTCCTCCCGACCAATGGACGACCAGATCAAGTTAGGCCCTTCAAGCGCAGCAGCATAGGGACACGCAACGCAGCTACCGGCACCTCTCTCCGGTGCGACTTCTGTTGCCCACGGAAACTTGGGCGCAGAGCTTACAAGCAGCATAACAGGCCCCTTGCGCATACGACAACTACCTCTACACGCCTTCCTAAGCAGTAACGATAGACCGGTGCGCAACCTATCATCACACGCAGTACGTTTCCGCGATTGCAGCGTGCAATACGGTAGTGACCCTGGCCAGCAACAGGGGTCCCAGCGAAGCTTACCCACTGCGGCAAACACACACACACGCGTCTCCTCTGGCGCTCTGGTGGGGACATCATCTTCCCGACAGCACACACGGACACTCGGACAGCACACACGGACATTCGCTGTTGTTATTCTGCTCAACGTCCTGTGCCTGCGACCTGCGACTGTAGTCATCCCTCGACTATTGTTGTGAGCAAGACGTGAGCACTAGTGACCCATGGGTCTCACGTGGGACCCATGACTGTTTCATCCCCCTGCAGACCGCTCTGACCACTTGGTACACTGCACTGCCAAACCAAACAGGACGACTGCACAACTTCCCTAATGCTCACAAACAGGACGACTGTACGGGGCAAATTTATGGGGCAAAAGAAGAAGGCACATAACGTGGCCAGTTTTCTTAACATACCGTAATGCCAGTGCGCCAGGCCTGAATTACACTCTTACTTGGCTACCGCACATGACTGCTGCACGCGACATATTGGAGGGCCCCCCGGCATACCTGCGTCGTAATAGTGGTTAAACAACCACTAACTGCTTGAGCCAACATGCATGCAGTACGACAGAACGTTTACAACATCTACTACGTGAGCCATCCCCGCTTTGGTACAGCTGCAGCTACAGTTGCCTCCAGATACCGTACTTACTACATGCACACTCCACCATCCATCCTGCCGTACTATCACCATGCAGTACTACCACCCTGCCGTACTTAAAACACAATCCGTTGCGTTTACGCCAGAATGCCCTCCTACTACCCCATGTTGCTTCTGCCTGCTGCTTATACAGCTATACTGCCTGCTGCGGCGCCTACCACTGTTCCTCCTGCATAGTAAAGATTGCAATGCTACTTGCTACGCTCCCTCCGCCTCCGCCTCCTAATCCATCCCTGCTACCTCCCTCGCAGGCCCCTCTGCCCTACCACTCCTCTCACTTCGCTGCCCCTCCCTCACTTCGCCCCCGCCCCCTCACTTCGCCCCCGCTCCCTCTTCTCCCGCCCCCGCCGCCTCCCTCTTGGCCCGCAGGTGCTCCACGAACTCATCTATCAGGTAGGGCCAGGCGCTGCTGGCGGCGTCGAAGTTGGACAGGTCGGGTGAGATGGTCTGCGGGGGGGGGCTCAAAGACCATACCGAACCATAGGAAGCCACAGGTTGGGGCCAGACAATGGGGATAGGAGCGGCAGGGTGCCACAAAGGGGGGAGGGGGGAAGGGAAACACTGGTGTGCACGGCGGTGGCGTACCATACGATGCACATGCTGCTAAACCTTCCCAGCCCCTTCCCAGCCATGCTACTCCCTTTCCATCAGCCCCCCACCACCCCTCCGCCCACCTTTGCAAAGTCCAGCAGCATCACCCAGGTGTCCCGCCCCACCGCCCTGCCCGCATGCGCGCCCTCCAGGAAGCCGCACCACTCCTCCACCAGCGGCCAGCGCTGCGCCGGCACGGCGGAGAACAGCAGGCGCCACATGGGCAGTGCGGCGTCGAGCTGCACACACTTGGTGCCGCGCTTTGGGGGGGGGGGGAGAAGAGAGGAGGGGGGTAGGAAAAGAGCAGGGAAGAGGGAGGAGGGGGGAGCAGGGAGGTGGGTTACAGCCACGTCGCTGAGGCCTCAAACAGCACCACCTGCACCACCGCTTCGTCTCCGCTCTCTTTCTCACAACGACTGTGCGTTAACCCGGTGCAAAACCTCCCTCCCTTTTCCCTCCCTCCCCCTCGCCTCCCTCCCCTTGCCTCCTCCTCACCTCCCGGGAGAAATCGTACGCGAATCCGTACACCCGCCTGAATCCCTCCTCCCCGCGCAGCTCCTCCCGCAAGCCGGGAAGCGCCCGCCGCAGCCGCCCCAGCGAGTCCAAACCAAGCTTTGAGAGGCCGGAGGTGAACTCCTGCCGGCTGAACTCACACATCACAGCGGCGTTCTGGGGGCGGGGAGGGGGAGGAAAATGAGGGGAGGTTAGGAGGAGGGATTGCGAGGGAAGGTAACAGGGGGTGGGAGGAGGGAAGAGGAGACGGAGACGGCAGCGCGTACGGGTTAAGCTGGGAGGAGGAGGAGGAGGAGGAAAGGGAGAGCGGGAACATTCATCCCCGCTTTACCATGTGGTACGACAGCACCAGCAGCGCTACGTCGTCGGGCTCCACTGCCAGGTCCTCACACAGCCGCATCACCCCCTCGGGACCGATGTGGTCGCCCTCGGGGTCTGGGGGCGGGATTGGGGGAGGAGGGGAGGGCAGGTGGAGGGGACAGCAAATGAAAAGTGAAGCAACGGAGGAGGAGAGAAGGGGGGAGGCGGTGGAAGAGTGAAGAGGGCGGTGGTAGCGGTGAGGGGAGGCATGGAGTGAAGCGGTTAATGAGTCCCAGATGAGCCTCCGGCTTCCCACCTCATACCCGCATGCGCCCTGCAGCCCCCCACACGGCGCCTTCATCCGCCCCCGCCTCTTTTCCCTCGCACCAACCTCCTCCCCTACCCCCCACCTCTCCAACCCACCCCCACCCTTGTATCTCCTGAACAGCGCCTCAATGCCCCGCATGCCTCCCCGCACCGCCCCCGCCGCGTCCGCCGCCTCGGAGGTGAAGAACGCGTCCACGCCGCCCTCCACCTCCCACCCGCACTCCTGAAGCAGCTGCAGAGCAGTAGCCTCACTGCAGGGGTCGGAAGGAGGGGGGAGTGGGAGGGAGGAAGTGGGGGAGAGGGGGAGAGGGAGCAGGGGAAAGGAGGCATGGGGGAAAAAGGTGAAGAATGGCAGGATTGGTTGAATCCGACGACACCTCCCATTCCACCTCTTGCAGCAGCAGGAGCTGCAGGGTAGCAGCGTAGCTGCTGTTGGGAGGAGGAGGGATCTACCCGGAAGCGGAAGCTTCACACAACGAAAGGGTTCCGCTTACACACAAGAGGGGAGTAAACGCCTGAGGAGGAGGGACAGCGGGCTTACCTGCAGCCGGTTGCTTTGCGCACCTGGGCCACCTGGGGGATAGGGGGAAAGCAGGCAACAGGTCGAGGTGAGGGGATGGAGTGCGGGGTTGTTAGCAGCGGGTTGGGATACCGGTGTAGGGGCTTAAGTAGTCTGGGTTTCTTTTACTCCCCCCCGCGGTGCCCCCTCTCCCCCCACTCCTGAACCACCATCGCCGCATATACCTTGTCCTTTTGCGTCTTGCTGAACTTGGCGGCAGGCGACTGGCCAGCCTTGGTGGCCGTCGTCTTCTTCACCTGCAGCTGCGCCGCCGCCCTGCTGCTGTTGTTGGCGGCACCCGCTTTGCCGCCCCCGCCGGGCCCGGGCCCTGCTGCTGGTGCTGGTGCTGCTGTGGGGGCGGCGACGGTGGTGGATTTGGTGGTGGGTGCGGCGGCGGCGGCGGCGGGAGCGGTCTTCTTCCCGCCTCTGCCGCCACCGCCGGCAGCAGCAGCAGGTGCAGCAGCAGCAGCAGGAGCGGCACCGCCGCCCCTGGCCCGCTTGCTGACCTTCTTCTTGGGCTGCTCCTCTTCCTCCTCCTCCTCCTCCTCCTCATCCACCACCAGATTTTCTGGATCCTGGTCCTCCACCATCTCCAAGTCATCCTCCTCCTCTTCCTCTTGCTGCTGCTTACGCTTTCCCTTCTGCTTTGCTGAGGGGGCCGCAGCGGCAGCGGCGGCGGCAGCAGCAGCAGCGGAGGTGCCGCCCCTCTTCTTACCGGTACCCCTCGCACCACCACCGCCGCCGCCGCCGCCGCCGGCAGCAGCAGGGGCAGGGGCAGCAGGGGCTGCAGGAGCCGCAGCAGGGGCAGGGGCAGAGGTAGTGGCAGCAGCCTTCCTCTTGCCCCTGGCACCACCAGCAGCAGCAGCAGCAGCAGCGGGGGCAGGAGCCGCAGGAGCAGCAGCCGCAGTGCCACCCTTGGCAGCACCACCAGTCGTCTTGGCCCGTTTGTTGGCCGTCTTCTGCTTCTTGGGTGGCTGCTCCTCCTCCTCCTCTTCCTCCACCTCTTCTTCTTCCTCCTCCGACTCAGGCTGCTTCGGCTGCTGCTTCGGCTGCTGCTTCTGCTGCTGTTTCCGCTTCTGCTTTTGCTTCCCCGCTTGAGCGTCTTCTTGAGAGTCATCCTCCGACGAGACAATGTTGATTACCTCCACCGCTTCAGCCTTCTCGTCATCATCATCGTCGTCCGAGGATTCCGCATTGCCTTTGACTGCAGGCCGCTTCGCTCTTCCCTTGCCCTTGGCTGCTGCTGCCGCCGGCGCCGCCTTTCCCTTTCCCCTCCCTGCAGGTCCCGTTGCAGGAGCTGCTTTGGTGGCAGCTGCTGCTTTGGGTGCTGCTGCTGCCTTGGTGACAGCTGCCGCTTTGGGTGCTGCTGCTTTGGGTGCTGCTGCTTTGGGTGCTGCTGCTTTGGGTGCTGCCTTCGGTGCCTCAGCGGCCGCCGCTGTCGCTGGCGCCGCTGCCGCTGCTGCGGTAGAACCCTTGGCGCCGCCCTTCTTCTTGCCTCCCTTCGCCGCCGGGGAGGCTGCTGGTGGTGGTGGTGGTGCCGCTGGTCCTTCCCCTGCTGCTTCCGCTACAGGAGCAGCAGCAGCCGTCGCTGCCGCCGCCTTGGCAGATGCGCGGGTTACCCGGCCCATGGGGGCGAAGGCTGGAAAGGGGTGCAGCAGCCGTCACGAGGAGCGGGAGGAAAGGTTCCAGAAAGCTACAAGTTAAGGATTAGAGTGCTGGTGTAAGCTGCTATCAGGAGTCGACGTGATGGCGCCAGGCAAGGGGCATGGTGCTGCAGACGGAGTTGGCCTAGGTGCAGGGCAAGGGAGGATGGGGCGTGGGTGCGGAAAGGAGTTGGCGAGGGGGTGCGGGGCCGCGCTAGACCCGCGGGCCTTTGGACCGGCCACATAATAGTGCAGTTATTGACCAGTCGTGTTTCCCGTTAGGTGTCGTCTTCTGTAAGTTTTGAGCAAGCGCATAGGAGGAATTGGCTTTTCGACAATGGATGGTAAAGAGGTAGTTTGCCTGAAAACAATGCCCAGTTAAGGGCAGCTTCAGAGCACCCGTTTACCGAGCATTATAAATAATGCTTAGAGATATTGTGCTTAGGGGCTGACTCCAGCTCGACGATGGCCAAGTAGATGGTGCGCTAACCCACCTTTCGCGCCGTTGCCCTGCTGATCGAGCTTGACGTGGCTATACTTTATAACAGATCCTATTAATGGGATGTTTTTTTTATCAAGTTGCCTATGATAGCGTAAACAGGTGACTGTTGCTCTGGTCTCAGCTAAACGACAGCCTCCTCACGGATCTGTGCCAGGGCAGTGTATCAGATACGTGTAATGAGGCAGCAAATGAATTGTCATATCCAGCGTTTTCGGACGCCGCTCCGATGCCGTGCAGGACGAACGGCGCGTCGCGACAGCCCGATCTACTAGCCCAATCGCCACTTTGCCAAATCCTATGCCATGAAATTCAATGTCAACTGGGTAGCTCGTCCTGGCGCATTGCAAATTCGCGTATGCCACGTAGCGCTTGCCTGTTTGTACAACAGCGTACGGCGTCAACGTGCAAGACGTCAACAGTTGGACTGCAGCGACCGGACCTCGTCCCAAAGCCACCACCAAAAGGGCAGCACATGCTTGGTTGTGTCCACAGACTAATATTTGGGTCGGGCAAGGGGTTGGGCTTAGTGCCTCGCCAAGCAATTGTTGGGTGGTGTGATGCATGTTTCGGTGGGTTGAGTTGCAACACGATGACTTGCACGATTTCCACAAGAAACCCCTGATGCTGCGCTGACGTCTGGTGCGAAACGTTCCGCCGTACGGGCGCATCCCGTACGGTGCCGTGCCCAGCTGTGTGCACCACTGCACACCGGGAGCAAGCGGATTCTCTGGTCCGTGCAAGGGCAACATGTTCCAAGGTATCCAGCCCGGACGAGGTGTAGCAGCCAACCAGCCTTGCATAGCCACACACCCCCTCCCTCATCCTCATTAATGGGCAAGTGTGGGACGAACCATTGCACTGGGGTTACAACATGACACACCGTGTCGCCACATTGGACCTCCGCCACTGCCATAACTTTCCTCCTAGGCAAAAGATGCCTGCCACCGTAGGCGCAGCATTGGTCCAAGTACCGGTAACCGCCTGTACGCTGTATCCCCACCGCATGCCCCCCTCGTCCTAGCTCCTCACGCATACAACCGCTGCAACCGCCACAACTCCTGCAGTTTGGCCAACCCCCCTTTGATGCCACCAGCACAACACACACCCCTCGCCCCCTACCAGCGATGGCAGCAGCCACCACCACTAGGCGGGCGAGAATTCAGTCCTTGCAAAGCCGAACCACCCACCCACCGGCCCCCAGTTCGGTATAACCACCGCCAACAACCCACCACCACTACTATCTATGCACATCTACCCCGCTGTGCAGTTTCCTAACCTACCCCCCGCAGCGCCCTACCTACACATGCTGTACACTCCGAATCCCATTCGCACCCAAGGAACCCACACCTAGCATGCATTCCCCTCTAACCCTGCCCCCCTATCGTACAAGTACCCAAGTTCATTCGAGCCAGTCAATCAGTCCTTTCACTGCAACTCCTACCCGTCTTCCCATCATCAGCACAACCAGCCAGCATCCCCAACGCTCCCTCCCTCTGCCCCTCACCTCCCATTCCCCCTCCCTTACACCTCAACACGTCCAATCCTTCCACCCTCCCCGCACTCCAACGCCCCCTCGCGCCCCCTCTACCAACTCGCGTCCCCATCCGCCCCGAACCTCTCCAGCTGCGCCATCGCTTCATTGAGGTCCTTCTGCACCTTCTTGCGGCGGTAGAAGATGGGGCAGTCACGCGAGGTGCACAGCACGTCCTGCGTCAGCGAGCCCTGGCAGCGCTGGCAGGCGGTCCACAGGTAGCCGTACTGGCACTCCAGCTCCGATACAGTGTCCAGGGTGCGGGAGTAGATCTCGGCTTCCTGCGGGGGCGGGAGGGGGTGGGCAGGGGGTCCGGGAGAGACGGGAAGGTCAAGGAGAGGTAGTGGGGGGAAAAGAATTTAGGGGGAGGACCGCTAAGCGGTGACGTTGCGCGACCTTTGTGCGCTTGCATGTTCCCTTTCCTTCTACAATGCCCTGCCTGAGTCCCAACCCCGCAACTTCAACCACCCCAACCAGCCCCACCTGCGGCTTGCAGTGCGAGCAGAGGCTGTCCTTGGCACCCGAGGGCAGCGGGGCCTTGCACGCCAGGCAGCTCAGCGTCACCTTTCGGGGGGGACGTGAGGAGGTGGGGAGAGGAGCGGGTTGGCGGCATATGAGGCAGGAGAGAGTTGGATGCACATGAGCAGGGAGGAAAAGGGAACCCAGGCGTGTAACCCAAACCCCAG